TTCACCTTAAATTTTCCATTTTAATCATATTTCAAGCAAGATTAGCAATTTCTTTTACAAAAGTCATACAAACAATCATAATTTGGTAATATTCACCTCTCAGCCAGCGCGTGACCTTGTCTGTCCATTAGAAGGAATTCGTGGTTTCGAGGCATAGTTGTTTGCCCAGACCCTTAATAGAAACATCACATAGATGCATGCACTACAATATTTATAAACAACCTTAATATGGAAGCAAGCTTAATAATTAATATCTTTTATTAGTACTTAGTACATTTGATATTGATGATTTCGAGTTTTTGGTATAACTATTCGTTAGAAAGAGAGAAAGGAAAATCAATATATAGTGCAACGGGTATGAAAACATAATCTAGTCAGTGGTCGGGTCTTCTAAACCACTGCATTCCACCGAGAGTCAAAATTAAGATAGTTTCTCGTCGTGTTGCCTCGAATTATGACCGTAATAAAACTGTCAGACTAAAATAAGACACACGACCTTCGTCATAGGCCCATGTAGTGTACGAACAGTCGAACATTACTCTTAAAATTATCTTCTGTAAAAAATGCCATAAGATAAGAATAAGTCAGTTTGTCCGCGACAAAATGTAGACTGTTTCAAGAAAATTTCGCTGGAATTGAAGACCTTGGCAAGATCATTTTAAGTCATTTTGGCCGGCCAGTTCATAGTGTAAGGCCACTTCTGCAACGTCATTTTATTTTAACCAAGTTTTCAAATTCAGACTTGATGTTTACTATCCCTCATTCGCTTCATTTACTCGATATGTCAGTTTTTTTTTAAAATTCATTATGTATATTATGGTACAATCTTTTGGTTTAACATGACTGTAATTCTATTCTTTTTATCGGTCACTGAGGACAGTGACTTTTTAAGGAGAGGGGGAATAGTGTTACGAATTTAGATATGTCCGTATCATGTGCTCAGTTCATTATTATTTCGCTATAATATTATTGCTTGCTGTGCAAGTCAAACTTGTCCTTCGGTAGATTTACGACGTTGTTTTTCGTCCTCGAGTAATTCTTGCAGTTCGATTGCGTAAGCCCAGGGCCACGCTCGTCTAGAGAATCTGTCCTCGTCTTACGTAACGGCAAGGACAGATACTCAGTCGCGTGCGGCCTCCGACTGACCCCGAGCGGAGGCCAGACTTTGTCCTCAGTTTGAGGACAGACTCTGCCCTTTAGCTCGAGGTCGGGTTGTGTCCTTGCTGCTACAAAACAGCTCCCTATATAAAGCCAGGGATTCTAAAATCTCGAGAGTTCGGACTTCAGACTTCTAGCTTAGACAGACTTCTGACTGACTTCTTGAGACTTCTCCTCGTACTCCTTTCTGCCGTTTTTCGTAATTCACTGAACCTGACTGTATACCAAGTTGTCATTATTGGAAGTAATAAACATCGAATGGAACTGAAACTCACGAATACTCCATTTCTTCTGTTGAATTTATATTGCATACACGCATGAGCTCGAGTGAGAGAGATATTGAGCGAGAACTGAACGAGAGCAGTCTGAATTAAACACTTGTAATCAAATTTCGTTACAATACCAATACTGCAACGTACCGGTAGGCCTACCTCCTAGCGGGCACAATTTGGAAAGGGGGCAGGCTCAAGTCACGTCTCTTGTCCGATATCAACATTCCCCGAGTTTAAGTTACGCTTAAATTTTTGACATTTTCATCAGGCGGGGCTGAAGCCACTAATTGTCCGAATAACAAGTTTCTGGTTTCACAATTTGGCGAGCGAGTGAAAATGTCAGCAAATGTATGTTGTGAAAGTGTTATTTATCACCATTCAACATTCCCCGAGTTTAAAGTTAATTATAATACACGTAATGCTGTTGAATACCATCGGCCAAACGTTAGAGCTAATATTTCAAAGTTTACTATTTTTTTTTATAAAGGTCCTCATCTATGGAGCACGATTCCAAACCATCTAAAGAATCAACCTTTCGTAAATAGTTTTAAACGTTCCTTTCGATTGTTTTTATTGAATTTGTACTCAACAACTTGAATATCATATTTGATTCATGGCGTACATATTTGTATATATATATTTTTTTGTTTTGGTATAATGTTTCCTTTTCCCTTTTTCTGTTTCCACCTGCTTTCTTTTTTCTTCTTAATGTGATATTAATTACGTACTTGTTTAGGGGTCAACCAGAAGCTCAGGGGTTTAAGGTATTTAATTGCGGTCAGATGAGCATATTTTGATAGCTCATAAGGGTTCTAGGACAATTATCCCTGGGCAATCACCCCCGGAAAATTACCCCCGGAAAACTACCCCCGAAAGACAATTAATCCCCAGAAAATTAACCTCCCCCCCCCCCGAGGACACTTACCCCCGAGGACAACTACCCCCTGAGCCTGAGGACAATTATACCCCGAGCACAATTACCACCGATGCAAACAAATTCCATCGGTGGACATATAATAATGATTACTCAAGATATTTTCTTAGACATTCGGGTCCACTTCTTTATAATGATGTAAAATGTAATCAATTCAATATTTCATTTAATAATTCATTCAGGAGGCAATATAAGAAACATTTAATCTGTTCATATTAATTACTTTTTACTTGTTAAATATCTTTTCTTAAATTATCCTACCATCTCATACCATACTGTTTGATGCTCTTATATGTTTTTTTTGTATATAATGTTTTTCATGTTTATGTTTATGTTCTCATGTTCTATGTTTTATGTATTGTTCGACCAATGTTTATTTTTTATAATAAGAATGTAAAAACGAACAAATACACAAACTAGGTGAACACACCCAAACAAGTAAAAAACCTGGCTTTTATTGTGTTCACCATTTTCCAGTTATCCACTTATGTTTTTAATGTAGCCTGTACCTTGTTTCTCTTTTATTGCTATACTGTCTTGTTTTGATTTGTTTTCTTCTTAATCGTTTGATTGAAATGTCATAGTTTTACAATGTTTTTATTGCCTATTGACTGTTTTTTACACTTTGTTTTTAATTGATGTTGGATTTGGAAATAAATGATTTGATTTGAAATTACCCCCTAGGACAACTACCCCATGGACAATAATGATTCAATAGCAAAAGACGATCTGACACATTGAGAGATGGCCATGAGCCCCCTGCATGAACCCATTTTCATTCAAATACTATAGCACGTTGTCTTCCTCATTATTACACATTTCCCTTTAATTATTATTTATGCAACGCCAGTGCGGTTGCTGATTTCCACGAAGGATGTAAGTTTTAGGTAATTGTCCAGTGTTTCTCAAAATTCATCGAAATACATTTCTCTAGAGCAGCGTTATTTTAACTTTTCGTTAGTCACGGTTCCCTCTTAAGAAATGAAAAGTTTCTCCCAAATCCCAAAGTCTTCACAGACTATTTATTTTGCCTGACTCTGGCACTCGTCAAGAGCTATGTACACACGTATGGGCACAGGTAAGAATAAAAAAGGAGAAAACATTGTCCTATGGGGGTAGTTGTCCTTGGGGGGGGGGGGGGGGGTAGTTGTCCTCGGGGGATAATTGTCTTCGGGGGTAGTTGTCCTCGGGGTTAATTCTCAGGGGGGGGGGGGGGTAGTTGTCCTCGGGGGGTCGTCCTCGTGGGGTAGTTGTCCTCGGGGGATAATTGTCTTCGGGGGTAGTTGTCCTCGGGGACAATTTCCCTCGGGGGTAATTGTCCTTGGGGGGTAGTTGTCCTCGGGGTTAATTCTCAGGGGGGGGGGGGGGGTAATTGTCCTCGGGGTTAATTCTCAGGGGGGTAATTTTCCAGGGGATGATTGCCCAGGGGTTAATTGTCCTGATACGCTCATGCACTCTGGCTTTTGTAGTACATGCTACCATACTACCATGGATAAATCACGGCCGGGAGCGTGGGCGGAATGTCAATCATAGTTTTTGGTTATTGGGCGAGCGAGCGTAGCGACCAAGCTAAATTTTGCAAATTTAAATGCTGAAAAAATACATTCTAAAAAAAAAGCCAAAGCCAATTTGTACGTTCTTTCTGTAGCCATAGTTCTACATTTCCAGGGGGACGTGTCTTCCAATCAGGCCCAGGATCACTGTCCTGTCCATGATTACTACCAACATGAGTTCAAATACAAGCACAAGCGAGTTGGCACGAGCTGATGCCAAATGAAGGGCAAAATAAGAGTTGTGAAGCGGCTCCTCTACCGTTAATTTAAAATTTGACTGTTGATCTAGCTTCTAAAGACATCCACAATAATGTGCCCTTTCTGAATTTCTGACCAAAGAGTGATGACCTTTGTAGTGTAGGGGCTGATATTAACGTTTAACTTCGAATCTGCGGCTCGGGATTTTATGCTGATGGTCCGCTCTATTCAAGGCCTTCCGGGATGACCCCCAATTTCTTGATTACAATTCTGCTTATCTTTGTAGGTGCCGGGCGCGGCTTTATCGTGAGTGCTTTTACACCCAGATTGCAACCTAAAATGATAAGATGATCATCTCAAATACGCTTGCAGTATTATGTAACCCTTCCTCCTTATTCCCTTATCCATCGTTACCGTCACTGCCATTTACGTATAGGCCTATGGCCGGCTTCCTCTTCAATAACGACTCCCAAGCCTTCGGGAATGAAAAAAAAAAATATCCTGATTTCCATACTGCCGCCCGGGAATGCCGTTCTTTGGAGGGGCCGGGCGCGGCCTTTTCCGAATTTAGCCTTTTTACACTAACCTTATATGGCTTAAAATAAACAAGCATGCTTAGAATTTTTAAAAAATAAGCTGAATTCCGTTTTGCACAACCTAAAAATTAGAATACGGCAGTCACCCCACCCTCAATGCGCGTGCATTTCACACGCACATCCCCCAAGTTTTTCCCGTATTCGTTGTTACTTTTACTTATAGTGCCATTTAATTGTCTTTCTTCCTTTCTCACCCGGCTTCTCTTTTCGTTTTCTTTTTCTCCATCTCTCTCTTTCTATTCTCTTTTCTTTTTACATCTTTCTTTTCTCTTTTCCTTTTTTGTTCTCTTCTCCTTTCCTTTTTTCTCTTCTTTTCTCCCTCTTTTTTCCTTATCCTTTTTTTTAGGTACCGCCAATAGGGGAGCCGCGGACGTTCCGGCAACCCCCCCCCCCCTTGATCCGCTACTGGCTACGTACACTATAACTCTTAAAGTAGTTTTGTCTTGTTTTCCGCAGACAACGAGCCCCCTTGTTGGGAATGCCGTGACATGCAAACATCCATCGCGGATCAAGACCTTGCTAGCATCGCTTTCATCCCATCTGTGTCAGACAACGTAGATCCAAATCCGTCCATTAACTGCTCTCACACATCCGTAGATCTTTCTCATCTTGGAGACACTAGCATCACATGTGAAGCAAAAGATTCTTCTGGAAACATTGCCGTCTGTACTTTTATGTTTACTGTAGGTAAGGCCCTGTGCGACCAGGCTTTGTACATGTATCTACATGTATACCTGAAAATACACTAATTCTATCATAATGGTTTTATAAATATTATTATTACTATTACCTCATGCATGCATATATTTAGTAAATCAGCGCAATATAACCAACCGCTATTATCTCTTTAAACCAAAGCTTTTGTAAACACAAAATGTAATCTCTGTCTATGTAACTTTCTACAGTTCTTCTTTAATTTTAAAGATAAAGTATATTGTACGAGGAAACGTAGTGACCGATTGAAGTGATTCCATTTTTGGATAGAGCATTTTTCTGTCTTGTTCCTTGTATTTTTCTCTCTTATCTTCTTCCTTGTTCTTTTCCCTTTCTTGTTTTTAATTTTAAGAGTGGAACTTTTTTGGGGGGGGGGGGGGGGGGGGGGGGGGTGGCCGGGTGGGGGGGGGGGGGGGCTGCTCACATGGTGACTAACTCCAGGCAAGTCGAAACACACGGTGGCAATGACAGCAATCCAATCTTACCCAGAGCTCCCAAATACATGTTAGGTTTTCATATAGCTCTGTGTTTTGGTTAAGTAAGGAATAAGCTGAATAATAAATTGTGATAATTTATTCTATTTGTAGGATATTTCCAGAGAAGGCCGGTCTCCTAAGCAATCTAACTCCAGTATGTTGGTAATGTATGGTCTACTGCAAACAGGTGATTAGCTCTGGTGAAGCTATGATTTTCCTAAGAATGTACATTTAAAGACAAATGTAATGCCAGGGCTTAATTTGTATCATCATCTCTGATAATATAATGGTTCTTTTGGAGTTTTAGGTAATTTTGAAGACAAATGTCATATTAAGAGAATGGGACATTGTACAAAAGGATCTTTTGTACAACCAACACTATGATGTGTTTTCACAATGAGGAGGTATTTAAGCTAACTTTGTACCAAATTTTAAGAGTTTTATATAGATTTATTTCAATTTTCTCTATCCCTCAATCTAAGTTGACTATTTCAATGACTTTGGATCATGTTGCCCCGTATCAAGTCTTGTTAGGGTATCTAATGCTACGCAATGCTGAGCAAATAGAGAATAAGCAACGTGTCCATTCTCTCTAAACTCTGTAACATCCGCCCCATAATTTATCAATATCATCTAATTCTAATTACATCAGAGAAGAGAAGTGCCATGAATGTAAGTAAAGAGATAATGAGATATTTTTAGCCTGTTTTATGTCAATAATATGTTAAATTAATTGGAATGTATAAAACTCTGGCTGTCACATGCTCAATGCAAAGAGCGTTTCCACTGTACATAGATGTTTCGTGTAAAATCAAGGGGGATTTTATGTAGAACTGACTGTTTACATGGTAAAGATGTGTCTTTTTTAATCTAAACATCTTGAAAATAACATTTAGTTCTCCAAACTTAAAAAAAAGTATTAATCAAGATGTTCACATCTAAAAATGTCACATCCGCGAGGGCATTTCAAGCATTAATTCATGAAGTTGTACATATAACAATTTATACGTACAGCAATCTCTTCATCAGTGGTATAGTTAGATTGTCATTACCGTAGAGGCTAAAACGTAATCCCCTATTACCGTTGTATATAAAGTAATAAATGTTTGATTACTGTGTTTAAGTTCAGAGAAATGAATCCCAGATTTATTTGGGAAAAAAAGGACCATTGCCTAGCAGTTAAGATATTATCTAGAATGAATGAATTGTGGTTTTGTATATGCTAAAGGTCTGTTTTGTATTTGCATGTATAGGATAGATGGGATTATCTCTCAAACAGCAAGCTATCATTTCCTCTCATATGATATGTGGCAAAATGATGCAATATTAGTATGAGGTAGGTGTAATAATCTGAGCTACAACATGTACACTATTACATGTATATATTAATGCCTGCAATAAAGAATTAAGTATATATCTTGCATCAGTCGTTAGCATGGGATGTAAAGCCATAATTCACATGTTTTTTCTCCTTGATTTCTACGAATCTACTCGCTTTCCTGTGCATATTGACACACAAGAAATGTTGTAGTTAAATGCCTTATCTATGTAGTAACATTTCATACATCATGCCACAAGTGAGTTCTTTTCTGATAAAAACAAGACAATTTTGAGGGGAAAGGCTTCCTATCGCTCATAATGAAGGGAATTTCCCTGTAAAAATTGTTACAGGAAAAATGCAATACTATTAGTATTTTAATTGTGTTTTATCCTATTGTGTAAATGGCCAAGATTCTTCAGTAATCAACTATTAACATTAGAAACGATGCTATAGACATGACCGTGTACATGTATTTTGTTTCAGTTTCTACATGTTCCCGCCCCGCTCCCCCCCCCCCCCCCACTCCGGGGTCGGAATGACCCTATGCGTGTTACCAAAATGTACGGTAAAGGGGTACTTTTCGTGCGACAAAGTCCGGTCCGACAATTGTAAAAAAAGGGGTGTATTAACTTTTCACCCGGAGATTTCTTTAAAAAGGGGGTGTTTTTTTCTTTTTTCTCTCATCTCTTTGGACTCCTGAGAAATTATTCCGAATTTAGGGGGGTACATTGAGCATTTTTCATGATTTAGGGGGTCTCCAAGGCAGGAAAAGCCTGCAAAAAGCCCGCGAAAGGGGGGTTCGGAAATGTTGGCAGTCCTCAGATAGGGGGTGCTTTCAAAAAGAGGGAACGAGCATATGCGTACCTGTGACTTTCCATGATGTAAATAAAGCTTGCTACATTAGCAAATCATATTAGAAATGAAAAGTTAGATGGTTGTGCTTCATTTCTTATCGTACTGTATAGTCTCAGTGACTTTCCTGGGAATATAAAAAGTACATGAAGGATGAATGAATGATTTTCATGTTTACTGATTTATTAACTGCTTGGGAATTACTTCAGAATAGCTTTTTCCAAGAAAAGACTGAACTCTACAGTATGAAAAGAATTTTACTACCAGTTATTTTGAAGCAATCTACCAGTGTCTGTAATCCGTTTCTAATCTACTCTATTCAGTGCGTCCCAAAAGAACCCCCCCCCCCGAGAATTATCGATGTTTTATCATAACTTAATCTCAATTAAAATTAATAAATGACATATATTCGTAAAGCTTAGCTCCTCCTCTTTCATGTGATTCAACTCATTTATGCATATTTCACGCATGAGTGATTAAACCAAAAAGTCATTTGGCTGAAGGTATCTGACTTTCAAAGAGAAAATCACATTGACGATCAGCCGTAAACGAAAGACTTCATGCATGGCTGATTGTCAACGAAACGGAGTGAAGTCTTTTGTGGACATGGAAATGCAAGCACTACTTTGAACAGAACTTTGTTATTTCTTGCTCATTTTTCCTGATTGAGGTGTCGTATGAAAGGGCAGAAACTTAACTTTTTCGTAATTTTATTTTCTCTTTGAAATTCAGATACTGTCCACCAAATAACTTTTTGGTTTCCCCTCTTCAAATTGATATTAATCACTCATGCGTGAATATGCATCATATGAGTTGCATCAAATGAAAGAAGAGGATCTAAGCTTGACAAATGTGTCATTTATTAATTATGATTGTGATTAAGATGATAAAACATCAATAATTCTCGGTTACGTTCTTTCTGGAACACACTGTATATCTCCTATTTTGCATTCTCATACTCTGTCTTTCCCTTTTTCTTTTGTTCTTTCTCTCTCTCTTACTATCCTCCTCTGATCGCTTTTTTCTTACATTCATTCTTCTGGGAAAACTTTCAATCGTTTTTTTAGCTTGCACCCAGTACTTACTTTTTAATGACTTGTTTTCAATTGCAAGATCGAGTAGTATATTATTTACTGGGTGCAAGCCAAAAAATCGTTTACAACAAAAGAAGGCTATTAACTTATATGCCGTTCTGGCTCTCAAAAGAGAGTACAAGTATCAGTCTTTTATTTTAAAGAATACACATACACACAGTTCAAACACTTTATTTAACATGCATATATTTAATGGTCAAAATGGTTATTTCAAGATTTAGAACATTATTAAGAGAACAGAGAGTACTTATATTGAATAAAAAAGGATCATGATGAAAACTGTACACATTACTGTACATACAGTATACATATTACATTTAATGGTAAATTGGAGTATAAAAGAGCTCGAACATAAAAATAATAATATCTTGGTAATATGCAGATATATAAAGTAAGTAGTAAGCATAAAGTAAGATATATTGTATGTATCACTGTCAAATGACTCTAGAAAAAGGTATTTTGGTCTGGACATGGAGTTTATTAGAAATCTATCATATTTGTGAATAACATACAAGAGAATGCTGTCTGTGCACAGAATTAAAAAGAAAAAAGAGAGAATAGGAAGAGGATGGGGGAAAGGGGAAAAGAAGTAGCTGAAGAAGTAGGAGGAATCAAGAAGTAGTACCAGTGGAATAATAAGATTGAGGGAAACCATAAAGCGAAGATGAGTAGAGTAATTATAAGGAACTCTTATTCGACGGTGAGATTATTTCCCACAAAACATCACTAAACTATTAAATTCAATATGGCCATATCCAAGTCTTGCCTTCAATTCATTTAAATATTCAATAACATTACACTTGTTAACAAAATATAATATTGTGTGGGAAAACACATTAGAAATGAGCACTTCACAACAGGCATCGTTGGAAGTTTATTTTTTTCTTCAAAGAGCGGGAGTCCTTATAGGGATTTAACAATATTCATATTAAAATACTGAAAAGATCTTTATATATAGCACATTCTTGTAATTCAGAGTAAGTACAAAATCACTTTACTGACTTTAGAGCAAGAACAAACTAAAACAGGGTTCTTTTTTAAAAATTAACTACATTAAACAACCCTTAACCTAACATTAAAGGTACAATAAACATATTACAGTTGAATTTCAAGAAACGATTTTCTTTTACCGACAGTGGAGTGAATTTCAGATCGGAGAGAAAAAAGATGGAAGAACAAGTTCTATGTTATTTGGCAAAAAAGTTATGACTTGAGTCAGATTATATTCGTTGTTTCAAGGTTGTTTCCGTTGTATCAAATTTGTGTGCAAGGTGCAGAATTGTGACATTCCTCTATCTCTCAATCTACTTTCATTACAAACAGGATTTTATGAGAGCCCCATTCATATTCACACAGGCAATCTGCTTTAGATACAGACTGCACACTGAAACATTACAGTTCTACATAGTTAATTGAAAGGATTGCTTTCATAAGTGATTTACTCAATGCATAACTACAGTACATATGTGTTAACATGACATGTATATGTAAATGGCTACATGCTCCATTGTATCCTTTAAAACCAGATTTATGCAGCATACAAAAATTACCCATTTTTCAGCCAATTTATGAATTAAGGATGCAGTTGGAAGTTGTATGTGGCATGCATTTCATAGATTACATTGTAAGTAGCAAAAAGGTTACAAGTCCATAATTTAGACAAGAACATCCTTCTGGTTCTTAACATGTTATAATACCTCAGTCAACCAATGACACAGACACCAGGGACCCGTTTCACAAAGCCTCTTTTCAATGACAAATGACATAAATCAGTGACAAATCTGATCACAACCAATCAGAAGCAAGGATTCCAGTAGCTTATGACAAAAACTTACATTTGTCACTGATGACAAGTTTTGTGAAACTGACAACAGACCGAACAAAGACTCGTCTCACTTCCAATGGGAAAGAACTTGGATCAGTCTGTTTGACTGGGGTATAAAACAGAACAAATACACAACTAAATACTCCACCTGGAGTTTCAGATCTGAATACTGACTCATTTTAAAGCTTTTTCAATACTATTTGAATTGAATACATTTGCAATGGATGGCATAATTTGTAGTAAATCAGAGCTGTATAATTGTGTACTGAATACTCTTCAAGCACTATTTCATGAGATTAATCAAATTTCTATAAAGGCATTCATCTAAAGGACATCCGGATTCAAATTTATTTTTTTAACATGGATTTGAAGAAAAGTTCAATATGTGTACAGAGGCAATTTGCTCGAAAGCAGAAGTGTTGTAGGGGCTAAATTTGTTAGTGCTTATAACAAATCCACAATAAATCCATTTTAAAGAATTACTATCCATCCAATTTTCAAATTTCCCCAAAACTTAGCATTACTTTTAATGCTGTGAAACAATATATTAGTAAATATATCTTATCATTAATTTAAAGAATTTTATTACAATTTCTATGATATTCTTTATTGAAAATTCAAATTTCTCTGGAAATGTCATTGTGTGATGCTTGGGATTGACCTTATATAAAAATCTGTACATTAAAGCACAGAGATAATATGATACGCATTGGGGCTAACCCAATACAACATTGTGCAGGCGCTTCTAACTAAGACTTTGTATAGATCAATCATCTTGAAATTTTTCATTCTTACATTACAAATAAATATCTTCTAATGTATAACAAATCTAAATAATGGTCATGACATACTAGTAATTTTCCTATACGGAATTATATACACAACACACACACAAAGCCTGTACAGAAATAAATAAATGCAATTTACAAAGCAAAAAATATATTACACTTAGTACTTCATACTACCAATGCATGTAGGACACCTATGTACATATTGTGCTAGTAGCATAATTGTATTACTATGAGTATAACATCTTGCACACAACATTTTTCAATTCAAAGTAGTCTATGCTTGATAAAACTCTATACATATTCACTACAAGTATATATTATAACCCACACCGTGACCTTGTAATTTGTTTAATACTTGATTTATCTTTTCAACAATGAATACAATTTTAAAGCATCTTTTCAGCTTAGCGTCAGAGATAATTAGGCAGGGCTCCCACTTAGCCGAGTTGTATTAGCGAGTTATGGTGAGTTGCCTCAAAGAGGCACTCGCAATAACTTGCGAACAATTTGGTATGGCTTAGCGTAACTCTTTACAACATTCCACGACTCTCCTCGAAGTCGCGAGCAGTTCCAAAATTTTTCAACATGTTAAAATTTTTTCCCCGATTCGTTGCAATTTGAGGTGAACTTGCCTACACTCGTAATATACACGCATTACTTGTAACAAGCTCACGCCGCACTCTTCATTACGTGGCGAGTTGTAACAAGCTCGCGCTGCACTCTTCATAAGGTGGCTAGTTGCTACGAGTTATGAAGAGTGCAGCGCGAGCTTGTTACGAGTAACGCGAGAATATTACAAGTGTAGGCGAGTTCACCTCGAATTACAACAAATCGGGGAAAATGGTTGAACATGTCCAAAATGTTGGAACTGCTCGTGACTTCGAGGAGAGTCGTGGAATGTTGTAAAGAGTTACGCTAAGCCATACCGAATTGTTCGCAAGTTATTGCGAGTGCCTCTTTGAGGCAACTCACCACAACTCACCTTAACTCGCTAATACAACTCGGCTAAGTGGGAGCCCTGCTTTACAGCTGAGTTCATGAGAATAGAATCAAGCAGTTTGCTGTTGTATCATTGTAGCAGTCAAATGAAATATATCTACCCTGTAGATAAAAAGTAAACTATAATTTTATACTGAGAATGCAGATTAATCTTTCATTTGGATCAATAAAACAGGTAATTTTGAGTTCTGAAAAAGTAAATGCATAAACAAAATATCAGAATCATTTAATCAGACGCATTATCCATATATAAAAAGGGGAGTTTGCATGTCATTATAAGATTTGTTTGGACTAGAAAGATGCAATGCCACATACAAGAAAGAGTCTACATTCACCAGACAAGATTTCTGAATCTTTTCAGCTTCCTACACAGCTCTCAATTGGTTTGACATATATAATATGTTTGTTATCATAAGTTTTGAATATCTGTTTCACTAGATCCTATGAGATTTGAGTACGAGAGCTGCCTATATCTTAAAGGAATAGTTGAGTTCTTGTTTAAGACCACAAATGCCTTCAAAGTGCATGGTTAGCGTACATGTATAATAACCAACAAAAAGCCAATATTTGCATTGGCTGGAATAAACCGTATAAGGCGCCATCTCGTTTTACAACGGCTGGTTCAAAATTACTGAACATTTGTGTGGCACCACAAATATTAGAAATGGTTATTTTTATGGATATTTCAGCCAACTCTGAACCGATTTAGATCTAACAAACATGATTTCGTCATTTAAATTGTATATACTTTCAAATTTGACACTCAGTTTTTCTTTATCTCACAAAAAATTGTTTTGTGTAGCGCCGTCTGCAACAAAACCCAACTATCCCTTTAAACAGCTATAGCTAATCATACTCAAGCAGGTCCATGTTTCATGAAATAATACATGTAAATATATATGTTGCATTTGTCATAACTTTCAATAATCAAATCATTTATCCTCTGTTATGCTTACACCCATTATCAAATCGTCTTTGAACAGGATATCTACATGTACTTAATTTGTGTCTTGTACTTATACAACATTGAATTTATTTGGCAATGCTCTACCACATCATATCTCTCACTCATAGGAAACCAGTCTGTATAGGTACTACCAAAGCTTTGTGCATTGTTACAATCAAGATTTACAAATGTACATGTACTTGCATAAACTTCTCTACAACAAATATATCAAAAAGTGCTGGCAATCCTGCAAGCATATATCAATAAACATTTTAAAATGACAAAATCAGCATTATTTACATGCTTCAAGACTATCAAATAAAGCTTTTCTATAACATGTAAGAAATTCTTTTTCTACCCTGTTTGATAATTATCGATTCAAATTGTACTTTAATATTTGGTGATTTTAGCTGGGTAGGACATATGGGCATAAGTTATCGGTGAGCCTTTGAAAACAAAAAGTTTTCATATATTGTTGACAACCAACCGCAGCATCCTTGGTATGTCTTGACAAATACATCTTTCCCGTCTCACATGGTGTGTTCATCAGAAATTCCAAATGATAATTGGTTCTTCCCAGATACCAATATGAAATGAATAATTAAATTGTAAAACTTCATTGATTTCTCAACAATTTACAATAACAATAACAATAATAATCTTTAAAGTCCACTCCAAATTTTATTAAGTTAAACAGAAAATGGAAATTCTTTTTGCCCAATTGATCGTGAACAGGGCAGCCACTGAGCAGCGCCAGATTGTCGTTGCTCTATCCCTTAATGTTATAGTTATATCGTCGGTGGGGTGACAAAACCTGGTATCTCAATTTTTTGAGATTTTGATTTTTTTGCATAATAAATATAAAAACAATTATTTTACTGTATTTCAACAATGACATTAAAAATTGTATAAATATTCCAGTTTTAAAAAGAAAGGACGGTGTCACAGCACTAAATTTCTTGAGACAGGAAAGTTTTTTTGCTCTCCTGAAAATTCATGATTTTTGAGATACGAGGTTTTGTCAACTCACCGACGATATGTAGTTGACCTATCATGTACTATTGTACAGGACGTAATCCACAGAATACATTATGCTTTCTATGCTACATCAGTGAATACATACAAGCAGGTATAAACAAAACATTGTATCTTAAGAGCAACCAATAGAAACACAGTTAACTTAAAGCACCAAAAGAAATATTAAAATATTTACATACAGATTAACTGCACAAAGTATGGAAAGACAAATCATTGCCTTCCTATCAAAACTAAGTCCTAGCAAGTGGTTGTTTTCAAAACAAAGGTTGTGGATCATTTAGATTATAAACAAATAAAATGCATAGTAGGAGAATTTAGGTTAAAAGCACAAACATTAATACAGATAAATATATCACCTGGGCATGATTTTAAGAAGGTTTATCCTTACAATTTTACATCTGTATAAACATAATCATGAAGTAAAAAAAAGGACTTTGAAAACATAGGATTCTGTAGGGCAAGTAATAGTTTGATATTAAAAACAGTACTGAGAATTTGCAAGTAGACATGAGAGTATATTCTAGTTGATTCTATTTGGCTTTACACATATCAATTAACTTATTTTTTCTTTGAAGTTTTTTTAGTACTTTTCAATTACATATTTCTTTCATTTGTTACATAATTTATTCAAATTCAATTTCATGTCATAATTTCCTCTTAGGGGAAAAGGAAGAGATCAATTCTTCTCTCACACAAAATGCGCTTCAATATTAGATAAGATAAGGTTATAGAGACTTTTCACTTTCATCTTAAATATTTTGAAGCTCACTAAGAATGTAGGGTAAACAACAGCCTACAGGAAATATGAACATTATAAAAAACATTATCAGCAAACTAATATAAACAAATGCCTTTTCTATACTACCCACACAAATGATTAAAAGCTACTATATTGCAGTTAGCAATTTGTGATACATTTTCAACACCATCTTTACTGTATTACTCTACATTGTTTGCATTATTGTTGTAGTTAGAAAAATGAAAAACAAGAGTTGTAATAAAATGTGGAATAAAAGGACAACCATCACAATTTGGTCTACATAATAGCTATACATGGATGACTATTTTTCTTAGATATTTATAAAATACATTAATATCAGTAGAGGTACACTCAGAGCAGCTCCATACCTAGTCTACTGCACATCAAACAACAGACATTTTGCAACATTACCCCCTCACTGTTGCTCTTCCTTTTGCATCACATTAAGGTCCGCATAAACAGAAGTTAGGCATCCATCATGGTCTTCACTCTCTGTTGAGTAAGATTAGAGCTTTGAGCTGAGAGGCATTGAGAATGAAGCTTGAGGAAGCTTAGATGTAGATGCCGAGTGTAGGCATCCATCATGGTCTTCACTCTCTGTTGAGTAAGATTAGAGCTTTGAGCTGAGAGGCATTGAGAATGAAGCTTGAGGAAGCTTAGATGTAGATGCAGAGTGTAGGCATCCATCATGGTCCCCACTATCTGTTGAGTAAGATTAGAGCTTTGAGCTGAGAGGCATTGAGAATGAAGCTTGAGGAAGCTTAGATGTAGATGCCGAGTGTAGGCATCCATCATGGTCTCCACTTTCTGTTGAGTAAGATTAGAGCTTTGAGCTGAGAGGCATTGAGAAGCTAGCTTGAGGAAGCTTAGATGTAGATGCAGAGTGTAGGCATCCATCATGGTCTCCACTTTCTGTTGAGTAAGATTAGAGCTTTGAGCTGAGAGGCATTGAGAATGAAGCTTGAGGAAGCTTAGATGTAGATGCAGAGTGTAGGCATCCATCATGGTCTCCACTTTCTGTTGAGTAAGATTAGAGCTTTGAGCTGAGAGGCATTGAGAATGAAGCTTGAGGAAGCTTAGATGTAGATGCCGAGTGTAGGCATCCATCATGGTCTCCACTTTCTGTTGAGTAAGATTAGAGCTTTGAGCTGAGAGGCCGCATTGAGAATGAAGCTTGAGGAAGCTTAGATGTAGATGCCGAGTGTAGGCATCCATCATGGTCTCCACTATCTGTTGAGTAAGATTAGAGCTTTGAGCTGAGAGGCATTGAGAAGCTAGCTTGAGGAAGCTTAGATGTAGATGCCGAGTGTAGGCATCCATCATGGTCTCCACTATCTGTTGAGTAAGATTAGAGCTTTGAGCTGAGAGGCATTGAGAATGAAGCTTGAGGAAGCTTAGATGTAGATGCCGAGTGTAGGCATCCATCATGGTCTCCACTTTCTGGTGAGTAAGATTAGAGCTTTGAGCTGAGAGGCATTGAGAAGCTAGCTTGAGGAAGCTTAGATGTAGATGCCGAGTGTACGGTGGAAGTCTGTGAGGGCAGCACACAGCTGACTAAACTTGGGTCTATCCTGTGGCAAGAGAGCCCAGCAGCATGCCATCAGATTGAACCTGCATGCATAGGAAGGAGAAACAAAGGATGAAATTCATTTAATATATATCACCCTTTGGAAATTCCAAATGATGGCATTCATTAGTTTCATTTAGAGGGAAAACTGTTACATCTTCTTCATCATTCTCCTGAAAACTCTTTGAGGTTTACGACCTTTCTGTTATTACTAAACTTGAAAGATGTATAAATGATATCAAAGCTTGGTCCACTGCTAATGATTTGAAGTTAAATGAGGATAAAACTGAGGTTATACATGTAACAGCCGATTCAGAAAGTCCTCCCATTTACTAATGTTCCGATACAACCTGTCAAAAGTGCACGTAACCTTGGTGTCATCTTTGAAAATGATCTTAAGATGGATGATTATATAAAAAATATTTGTCGCTCAGCTTCATATGCCTTGTACAAGATAGGGCGTATTAGAAATTTTCTTGATCAAAAATCTACCGAAACGCTTATACATGCATTTATTACATGCCGTCTCGATCAATGCAATAGCCTTCTTTATGGCCTTCCGGACTCGCACATTGCAAAACTGCAGAGAATCCAAAACTTTGCTGCCAGGCTAGTAACGCGTTCTTGTGAACACATCACCCCAGTACTTCCGGTGACGTACCGCATTATGTACAAAATCTTAGTTTTAACTTACAAATGCATTCATGAATTGGCACCAATTTATCTGCAAGAATTAATCGAGGAATACAAACCCTCACCCAGTTTAGGGTCATCTTCACAATTAAACCTTGTATCTACTTCTGTGTCAACTCTTTCTTAAGGTAATCGCTCCTTTCGCAAAGCTTCTGCTGAACTTTGGAACAGATTACCTTTAAATGTAAAAAACTGTCAAACCGTTAACCTATTCAAAACTAGTCTCAAGACACATTTATTCAAAATTGTGTTCGATGATTAACTCTGTTCACTTTGACGTGTATTCAATATGTATTGTAATTTGTATGTTATTTGCATTTTCTGTTTCGCCGTAAAGGCCGCATCGCGACTTTTTGATATTTTCTCTTCCAAAAATACTGCGGCCTTTACGCCGGCAAATACGGTAAGCACTTTATAAGTAACGTTTTTATTATTATTATTATTATATTACGAGATGAAACTTGTATAATGAGTAATCAAAAGTGATTCCTACGATTATTTGCCTTCAGCCTGGTTTCCCTTGCTAATGTCATGGATAAGCAGTAGGTCACTGGATCAAGGATAACAGATTTGGGGTTCAAATCCAAGACACAGCTCGGAAAACCTTTGATAAGACAATCATGATTGATAATTCATCACTGCACCGCATGCACAAAAGGGCACATTATGGCACAACTGCTTAAAACGAAGGGAAGATGTGTATCTAAAGAAACTTTATGATATACAAGAGACTGACTGACTGGCTTAATCATTGATGATGATCCCTTTCCAGCAGCACTGCACGCATTGTAAAAATATTATCTCTTAGGGGTTAGGCCATCAGATGTTAATAATAATGACAGTAACAGTGACAATGACAATAACAATAAAATACTACTACTACTACTGAATTGTGATGTGCATAATTTTAATACTAGAAATGCCCTAAATTATCACCTCCCCAAGATTAGAACGACTTGTATGAAAAATTCACTATTTTTTAAAGGATCATTAATATGGAATAGTATACCTCAGGAAATAAAAGAATGCAAAACTCTCAATCTTTTTAAAATTAAATATAAACAATTTCTGTTAAACAAGTATAATAATCAGTATCAATAGTATGGGCAAATTTTTGACATTTTTTTAATATACTCTGATCGTGCATGATAGTAAGTTTTAATATGTTCTTTGTTTTTTGTTCTGTTTTTTTGTTCTCGTTTTCATGTTTGTGTGTTTTTAGGGGTAGGCTTTTAAATAAGGAACTTCCCTCCTTTCTGCCCATCCCAAATACTCTTATAAATTGCCATTGTATTTGTTATCACTTTCTTGTGTATTTTTTAATAGTATTTATAACTCCATTCTGTATTTGTATGCTTTAAATGTTTTTATGAAGAGTGTTGAATAAACTTTGAATTGAATTGAATTGAACTAATAATAATATTAATATTGTTTTATGTAGCAAATAATCTACTCAAGTCTCTCTATGGGCTTAACAAGGTAAATTCAAGAGGATTAATTCCTTAGACTTTGAAGACAATTTTTAAATTGTTACACGCATATCAAACCTCCTGCCAGTCAATACAGGTATACATGTACTATGAATATTCAGAACAATTTCATTTAATTATCTCAAACACAAGTGTGTTGAATACTTGAATTGCTGCTCCTACTCACAGTTCATCTGGACAGCTTGGGGGCTGAGGCATTCGATAACCACTCTTCAGGAAGGTAGCCATCTCAAACGGGTCCAGGTCCATGTATGGTGTTTGACCTAAGGTGACCAGCTCCCAAAGGGTCACTCCAAATGACCACTGTAGTGAGATGAAGAGAAAGGTGTGATGGGAGAGGGATGGAGAGAAAGTCAGGGAATGAACAGAATACAAACAGATTTACACAAAAAAAGAGAAGACAGAAAGAATGAATGATGGCGAGAGAGAGAGAGAGAGAGAGAGAGAGAGAGAGAGAGAGATTGGGGGTATAGCAAGATGCAGAAATGAACAGAAAGAAGGAAACAAACTTAATCATTAAATTGGAGATTTCACCTTGTATTCAATTCATAAAATGAAATAGAGACTGATGAAAATTTTCAAGAAAATATTAATTAACTTCCAACTATAAAAATTTGTTTTGTCACTCGACTTTAACAGCTTTTAGATCATGTATAGGTCTGTTTATACTATCAAGGTTTCTTTAATACTCACCACATCACTAGCATGTGAGAATTTCTTATGAACCAGGGATTCCACAGCCATCCATTTAACAGGTCTGTTCTCATTATCCCCCAGACAATGGTAGTCACTAGGGAAAAGATCTCTTGACAAAGCATTGTCTGTGATCTTCAAGTTGTAGTCCTCATCAATCCTGCAAAGAAAAAGAAAAAAATCCACCGATCAACCCTCTATTCACCACAAACCAGCCAAACAGTCCATACATTATGCATGTGCCTATAGCAATGGCAGAATTAACCAGTGATACTGAAAGGAAATTTTTTTTATATATTTTTTTTTTACAGAATTCTTATACAAACAGATCAAAAACATAACATGATTACTGACCTGTTAGCATTCATTTGTAAGTTAAATACATTGAATCATTTCTTCATCTAGAACAACTGTCACAAACTTGCTTCATGTTTGCAGTGATTTACTATTGACCTGCAGATTGATAGTTATGCTTGAACATTGTTATTTTCTATAGCTGTTAGGATATCAGCATCAGCTCTTTAATCAGAATGCTGGTTTATTTGAACTTGTGTCTTTTAACACTGATACAGAAAGAAATGTTCCATTGAAAAAGAATAACTGATTCATAATCTACAGTCGTGACACTGACATCAGTAAGAACTTAAGAGTAATAGGGAGATTTACTATGGAGTTTACTTACACACAATTCCTTGTAGCCAGATCTTTATGAACAAGTCTCTTTTTACCCAGATACATCATTCCATGTGTGATCTGAATGGCAAGGTGGACTAGATCACGAGTTGATATTGCCTGGAATGAAACACACAAGCGTTATTCAGTTGAATGTATATTGCTACTTTTGTCATGGGAAACTAAAGCTTTATCGAAGCAACATCAAATCTTGTGAAAATAGCGCTCAAATGGCAGAGATTTTTGTCTTGTAATGACTTGAACATATAGCTCTCAAAGCATTTAGAGAATATCTAATTAATAAGAATTCAATTTAATACATGTATTCTAAGTTGCGGAATGTAAACTACAGTACTCATACATAATGTTTTCATTATATATATATATATATGAGGGCACAACATCTGGTAAGGATCTTCAGAGGAGTTACAAAAATGAATTTTTCATTATAAAATCACAGAAAATCACACAAACTGATACCTTTACCTCTCAGTTAAATTATCTAGAAAATTACAAAGACAAATCTAAATTCATGGGTGACATAACTATGATGTACAATTAAATTAATTTGTTCGATTCACTATTTGATGATCAAAATGTAGAATGAATCCGATGATGCTATTGAATGCAGCAATTGGTCAAACTCCATTATTAAGAGAAACCTTGAAATCTGAAAAAAGGCATTATCTTTTATGTGAGGGAAAAACTATGTTAAATGTCATAACAAAATTAAATTGCACCGAAGTAAACTTGATATTGGTGCCTGCGCAGATGTCTCTTTTAACTTAACGCAAAAGCTGCCAGCTTGGTGCAGACATTAACCAATGACTTATTTCTATTTTTTATGACAACTCAGGTCAGGTCAGGCTTCATTAGTCTGCTACTGGTAACATGTAAACCAGTACTACCTGTTCATTGGTCGAGCAACCGGCGACTAAACCGGCCCCCCCACCAGGCAACTGGTGAGGAGGGTGGCTAGCAACCCAGTGGGAAGAAAAATAAGACCCATCAAAGGGCGGAGGATCTCATTGAGTCAACGACCAGCTAGATAGAGAGCAAACACCTTGGAAGGACCTGGCCACCCACCATCAACTTGGTCGAGTTTGTCATTATGAGAATACACCATAGAAAAGAGCAATTAACAATAGTATCCAACGGTGGACCCTGCAGGCTGAAGGATACCTCAAATGCTACTGCGGAAGAGAGGAATGATGCACCAAGTACAACTAGTTATAATGATGGAACAAGGCCAAACCATGATCCAGGAAGCCCTGTCCCTGATGCCTCTGGACTGGAACAGAGCAACATACCTCTACGGCGAGCTTTAAGTGTGGCAACTTGGAATGTTAGAGGACTCACAACGGGAAAGCTGGAGGTGGTACTCAATGAAATGTTGAGATGTAATGTACCCATATTGGGAGTAGCAGAACACTGGTGGCTTGGCCAAGGACGGTTTCATACAGATGGAGGTGAAACAGTGTACTATTCTGGAAAGGAATCTGGATGAAGACGTAGTGGTGTTGGATTTATCATCAATAAAGAGATGTCAAAGGCAGTGATGGAGGATTGATCTAATACTTGTTGTAGCTCTACCCAAACCGAAATCCGAGAGCTGTCGGAGAATGTTTTTATATAGAGGCTCGCGAGAATTTAACCGCTTACCTAACAATATTAAACTCTCCAACAGCTTAAGTGTTTTTTGCAAAGAACTATCTGCCATTCATTGATCTTGCCTAGACTTTCAGTGGTATTATGCCTTGCCAGAAGTTACACTTAGCTGTGGGGGGGGGGGGGGGGGGGGGCGGGGGGGACACATTACTAGTAATTAGGGTAGACATGTATTTAAGTTCTACTTGTGTATGTAAACATAATTGTGTAAATCAAGCTGCTGTTTGAAACTATTGATGCTTTTTCTTTCGTGTAGCCCGAAAGTGTATGGTATTTTTTGCCTCGTCTTTCTTTCTACTGCACAATGGCTCAATGCTCAAATTTGTGGGTTTGTTTTGCTTGGTACGCGGCAATACACCGTTTTCCTCATGTGGTCAAGTTTACTCATGCCTGCCCTAGGACAAGCTATGTAATCACCTGATAGCGAGCGGCCGCATCACAATGGTCGGAATGCGAATTGCATTCATTTGCGTTGCTAGCTGGGATAAGCTTTTTAACTTGTCCCGGCTGGCAACAAGCACTGCGTACCTTCTATTGGGGTGCGATAGTTTGTTGTCAGGTGTGCGTATGGCATTTTTAATTAGCGTTTGATGATGGCGTGTGTATAAATTTTGGCCTCATGGGGAAAATCGTTTATTGACGTTTATAGTTGAGGATCGATTGTCGGATAGAGAATTAGACAACACAGTGGGCGGGTCTCTCGCGTGGGGTTTGGAATTACATGGTGTTATGCTGGGCGCGTCCGGGATCCGTGAATAAGGTAGCATATTTTGTACTTGTTCATTCACCTATTCAATTGCTTTGATTTCTTTCCCCGGACGAGCCAGGCGTTACATGTGCCTTCCACACGCTTTGCAAGAGAGTTCTTCTCCATTTCTCTCTCTCCCTTTCTCTCTCTCTCTCTCTCTCTCTCTATCTCTCTTTCTTGCAGTCGTTCCTCTTACTGATTCGCGCATAGCGGGTTAATTATCCGCAAATCTCAGCAATTGTAAATGTATAGCCTTTTTTTGCTTTTAATTGTTTTGTTTCATTGGTTAACACGAAAGAGGACATGCAAGTGTTATACTCAGCAGCTTGTGCATTATTTTTAAAATTTCTATTTACGTAATGTTTCTTTTAATTGTACCTGGACCCCCAGGAAGAACAGTGTCATATATTTTTATGACACTGAACGGGCAATCCAGCCAATCATTTTTAAGCAATCTATATACACATGTAATTTTTTTTTTTTTTAAATTCTGTTATGTTTCATTTCGTTTTATGTCATATGTTATTTGTCTTTTTAATATGATTGGAAAATAAATACAATACAATACAATGGGATACAACCCTGTTAACGATAGGATCATTACAATAAGGATGAAGGCACATCCCATGAACATCACAGTAGTTCAAGTATATGCCCCAACAACAGATGCTACTGAGGAAGAAATGGACAACTTTTATGGAGTCTTACAAGATACACTGGAAAGTATCTCAGGGAGGGATATCACAATGATGATTGGAGACTGTAATACCAAAGTGGGAAAGGATGGTAGAGAAACTTGCAACATTGGAAAATTTGGTTTAGGTGACAGAAATGAGCGTTGAGACAGGCTTGTAGAGTTTTGCACTGCAAATGACCTAGTCATTGGCAATACCATGTTTCAGCATCACAAGAGGCGACTCTGGACCTGGAGAAGTCCTGGAGATAGAGTGAAGAATCAGATTATATCATGATCAAAAGAAGGTGGAGGACAACTTTACAGGATGTTAAGACAAGACCAATTGTGATATCACTCCCAATGTTGCTCGGTAAACTGAAACTGAGACTCAAGTCCAAGAAGACAACTGCTCAACCAGTCAGGTTTGATGTGATGAATATACCAGCACAGTTCACTACTGAGATTGGTAACAGATTCATGCCACTTCTACAAATGGCAGAAGAAGATGTGAAGCCAGAAGTGCTGTGGGCAAGCACATCAGATGTACTGAAAAAGACTGCTCAGGAATACATACCACGGAAGAAAAGGCAAAAACAGGCATGGCTAACAACAAGTACAATGGAAATTGCAAGTAAAAGAAGGCAAGCAAAATCAGAAGGGAGACACGCAGACTGGAGACAACTAAATAAGGAATATAACCAAAAAGCATGTGAAGATAAAAGAGCATTCCTAGAAGGAAAATGTGAAGAAATGGGAAATGCAGCAAAGAAGCACAACATGAAGAAAGTTTTCAAACTTGTAAAAGAGATTACTGGTGACAGAAGCATGAAGACTGATATTGTGAATGACAAAAATGGAAAAACTCTGACAGAGGAAATGGACATAAAACAGAGATGGGCAGAGTACTGCAGAGATTTGTACAGGAGTAGAGAGCCAGGTCAAAGAGCCAGGTCAAAGAGCCAACAGACAGGTCGAGGAAGACAGAGAATCACCTCCACTGAGATCGGAAGTTGAATGGTCTCTGAACCATATAAATAAATCTCGGGAATGGACAATATACCTATTGAAGTATGGAAAGCAACAGGTGAAATAGGTATTGATCTCTTATGGCGGCTATGTATCAAGATATGGGAGAATGAAGAATGGCCCAAAGACTGGTGCAGAGCTATTTTCATACCTTTACCTAAGAAAGGCAATCAGAAAGAATGTTCTAATCATAGAACCATCAGTCTTCTTGTTCATGCGAGCAAAATACTATTAAAGATCATCATTGACAGGATGAAAAGGAGGTACATGGATGAAATGGCAGAGGAGCAAGCGAGCTTTGTGCCTGGCAAAGGTACTAGAGATCAAATTGCAAACATCAGGATGATTATAGAAAAATGTAGAGAACATAACATGCCTTTATACTTGTGTTTTATAGATTATGTAAAGGCTTTCGACTGTGTAGATCACAAGATGTTGTGGGATGATATGTACAGAATAGGATTCCCAGCACACCTGGTGGGATTAATAACCAAGCTTTATAAAGATCAAGAAGCAGCTGTTCGGACTAGTGTTGGTGATACTGAGTGGTTTCCGATAGAAAGAGGTGTCAGGCAAGGATGTATATTGTCTCCAGACCTATTTAATATTTACTCAGAAGATATAATTCGAACTGTGGCTGAAGGTTTTGAAGGCGGAGTGAACATTGGAGGACAGAGAAGGCACAATCTCAGGTATGCAGATTAAGGCTGCGACGAGTAGTCGAATGCTCGAGTACCCGCACAGTTGACAACTACTCGGGTACGATTTCTTGTACCCGAATATTCGGCCGCAAAAAAAAAAAAAAAAAAAAAATGTCCAGGCCCACGCTTACCCGTGCCAGGGAGAGCAGCGTCCGCTGGCATGGTACCGTCGGTAAAAATGTTTCCCAACTCAAGCACTGTCAAACTCACCTTTCAGAAACTGGGACCAAATGTCCAGATTTCTGTTTGGACTTGGAGGAAAATGGATTATTCTGCCATCTTTGGTTTTTAAAACAGCATTGTTTACTGTTATTATTCTTATTAAATCGGCGCCTTCAACTGCAACTCAAAGTAAAGTTGCATGCGTTTTCAGCGAGCTGCGCGAGGGACCTGAGAAACTGCCGAGTGGTATGGTAGTGGCAAAAAAAGAAAAAAAAGGAAAAAAATCTAAAAATTAAAAAATTTAAAAAAAATCAAAAAAATTCAAAAAAATTCAAAAAAATTCAAAAATATTCAAAAAAATTCCAAAAAAACATGGCGTCCGAACATTCGAGTATTCGCCTGTGAGCCAGGGAGTGTACTCGGGTACCTCATTACACTGTTGTGCACAGCCCTAATGCAGATGATACAACTTTAATATGTACCAGCAGGGAAGAGCTGCTGGACATGCTGAGAAGAACAATCTCCTCTTAAACACACAAAAGACAAAGATACTAGTAATAGACAGGAATCGAAGAGATTTTGATGATTTCATTTTGGACGGAGAAAAAATTGCTGAAGTCCAGGATTTCATATACCTGGGATCACTTGTTAGCGCTAAAGGATCAAGTGAGAAAGAAATCAAAAGGAGATTAGCTATAGCAAGGAATGCAACTCAGAAAATGGTGAAGATCTGGAGAAGCCAGGGAATTAATAACAGTTTAAAGTTAAAGATAGCACTGACATTTATATTTCCCATTGCTACATATGGAAGCGAGACATGGGCCATGACCAAAAGAGATGAAAAGAGAGTAGACGCGTTTGAAATGTGGTTGTATCGGCGAATACTGAGGGTTCCATGGACAGACAGAAGAACAAACCGATGGGTACTAGACAAGCTGGATACAGAGATGTTGCTCAGAAAGAGTATTGCCAGAAGGAAACTGCAGTTTTTTGGCCATGTAGTAAGGAGAGACGGTCTTGGAAAGTCCCTTATAAAAGGAACAGTGGAAGCCAAGCGAAGAAGAGGCAGACCTGCTATTTCCTGGTTCAAAGATATCCACATATGGACAGGGAAAAAGCTGTCAGAGGCAACGAGAGCAACAGCTGACAGAGAAGGATTGCGTAAACTTGTGATGGCCACAGCAGCGCAGCTAGCGCCACCTGAATAAAAAAGAATGACAATTAACATTATTTTACTAACTTAGTTTTAAGAATATGGCCCCTGGAATAAATCTTCTGAATTCAATTCATGCGCTTACCTGATGCTTGTCTCCTGGGCCAATGCGTCCATTCTTGAGGAACTGTTTTAGATTTCCTAGCTTCATAAATGCCTCCAAGATGAAGGGAGGGTCAGAGAAACACACATGAAGCAATGGCAAGATGTTCTTATGACTCAGACCTTGAAGGAGACAACTCTCTTTCACCAACAGATGGCGCTGTTCTTCTGATGAATGATCTAGTGATATGAAATAGAGGGTACACATCAATCTCAGAAGCTTCAATTTAGAAGAAAATCCTCCCAAATCTCATTAACACCTGTTGTCAGTAGGACTTTGGAAATCAACTCTCGTGTTGAGCATATTCTTGGAAAATTGGTGTGATAATGAAGGAAAAAAAAATGTATCAAAGAGCATCGTTCATAGACCAAAACAATACCTATTGGCATATATGTATAAATGCTTCATATTCTATTGGGGGAGGGGGGGGGGGGCATTATTGATTAACGTGGTTCAAACTGGTTTACACTGATTGGTACTGGTTTACACTTACCTGTTACAGTCTTGATGAAAACATCTTGTTCTGAATCTCCTGTTGCACTGATTAACACTCCTTGGTGAACACGCCCAAACGTGCCTAGCAATAATCATATTAAAAGTATCAAAATGTCAAACATTGTTTCGACTCATTATCTAAAATCAAGTAAAATGTTGCACTACTAAAGAATAAACAATCATTTCATAAAATAAATGCACTCAGTATCATATACAAATTATATTTTTTTGTTTATACTATTTCAAATATTTCTTCTTGAAGAATTATTACAGGTCAATGCATTGTGAAGACAGATATCATGGAAAGTTCTTTAGATCAACAAAAAATGAAAATGAGGAGCATAATAACAAAAAAAGAAAAAAGAAAAAGAAAAGAATGAAGAAAAAAACTGTTCAGTATTTTAATGCAATTCATTCTTTTGAATGGAAATCTAAGAACATAAGATTATAATAGTAATCCAGTATATATAGTATACAGCTTATAAAATATGGCAGTCATTATTTCTAACAGCCTTCTTTTATTACAGTCAAATACCATACTACAATAGTCTGAACGAGAAAGAATATCCAGCATAATTCGACTGCCATTAGCTGTTATGTAATCTTAGTTTGCATATGACTTAGTGACTGGATGATTAGTTTGTACCTTCTAACAGCACTTCACCAAGAGTGATTCTGCTTCTCTCAATGGCATACGGAGCTAGTTTTAATCTCAAGTCTTCAGCTTCTGCTAATGAAGGACAGATCTGGTAGTGAAGTGAGTTGTAACCTAGGAAGTCAAAGACGAAGACACATTCAAGTTTCAAGTATTTGTTGTTCCACATTTTACAAAAAGTATAGACATATATATATAAAATAAAGTAGTATAAATGAGCACGTCTCAATGATTCTCAATTCATATAATAGATTAAGTAGAATGTGAGGAACCTATTAAAAAGCAGAGCTTGTATATTATAGGTTCCTTGTAAAAAGAGAATCGAGAAGGTTGAGTTTTGGGAACAGGTGAAAAAAAAATTGTGAGCGTTATCATTGTATTATGCAAATGTGGAAGAACATCAGATAAATAATGTTCCCTGAAAAGCATGGCTCTTCAAATGCCTTTATTCTAAACATGGCATTTAACATCATAAAAATCGAGACAGATTTTTATGCCACATATTCGTGTAGTCCCACATACATCTTTCTGTGTACGGTGCTTGTAACTTTACCAAGACTGGGCCAAATTTCTTATCATTTTGATAATTCCAGAACCTTGCAGTACACACCAATACTCATATGCTAGATGATCAACCTTTTCTGATCGATTCAACGTTTCTTTCACAATGCAATCGCATGACGAGAACTCAACTTCATCTTTAACATGCTAATCATTAAAAAGTGGGTAGTGGGTCAATAATGACATCATTTTAAATGATTACATGATTTCAAAGGCATTTCCATTAACTATAATATTTAAACAACAACAAAAACAAAAACAACTTACCATTTCCATTAGAAAGTCTGTCGACCTTTGGCTCAGGAATCTTGGGAAAGTTTGGATGCTCTGGTTGTCTGCCTCCATTAATCAACCCAGTACTACTGGCATCACTACTGTAAGGGCAAACAGGAATTCAAAAAAAGGATTCACGTTGATGTTGTGTTGCTTTCCAATCATGATCTTATGAATTTAGATAGATGTAAAGAAGCCCCAAATGTTACAAGAGGTCCATTTCAGTTACAGTTGTTCATCCATTTGTGTTGTGTATGTTTGTACCATATCCTATCTCCAAGAGCTATTCTTCTGATCTACTTTTTTCTTACAACACTCCATATGATTTTCTATCGTATCTATGTTTTTCATCTTTCTGACTTTACCTTATTCCTTTCTTATCTATAATCTTTGTCTCACTTCATCTCTCACCCCTTCGTGACATCCTACCTCTATCTGTGCCAATCACAAGAAATGTTAGCCCTACAAATATTCATGTAAAAGTACTAACATTATCTTCTCATTTCATTTTGCCATGTATATTGCTGGAACTCTCCCCCTCTCTCTTTCCTCCTCTATGTTGCAGTCACCATTTCACGAAAGTAGAGCACCAGGAGAGGCAATGTGCAAGACATGAGCCCTATACAAGAATCCACTATTATTATTATTGTTATTATCACAAACATATGTCCTTTCTAGCTCTCTCTCTCTTTCTCTTTCTCTTTCTCTTTAGCGTTCTCTGCTCCATCATTAGTAAATCAAAATGAAATCCAAAGAATCTGGATTTTATTCTTAAACTGAATTTCTCACCTTGCGGGATCAGATGATCTCATTGTTCTGACATGGATAAGTGCTACTACTAAAACAAAGAGAAGGATGATTCCACAGACCACCCCCACTGCTATGTAGAACACACTGGTAGATGTCACCGCTTTCACCTTAGACTCAGCTGTGAAAACAAAGAGAATCAATCATACTCTTTCTGCCAAGAAACAGGAGGGCTTTAAATGCAGTATCATTTAAATCATTTTCGAAACAAAGCCGCCTGTAGATGAAAATTATATTCAAGGGCAGTGTCATTACTTTTATGTAATGGCTATAGTCCAAAATGAATTGAAATTCTTTGCAACGACATGTAAGATTGGAATGTTTCTTGGAAAAATGAACTTTGTTTTTCTTGGCTAAATGAAAAGTCTTAAAGCTATTTGGAGTTACAGTTAATGATGCAACAATACACATAGGCTCATACGGCATACAACTGGCTACTAAGGATTTACCGGTAAGCAAAAGACTAAAATTCACTGATTTCATCTATTTTACACAGTGAGAATTGGCTCTTGCTCTTAACATTTCATACATACATGTAGAGTTTGTAATTTCTAAAGCAGGGCTCCTACTTAGCCGAGTTGGAGCCTCGAGTTGTGGCGAGCTGGCGCGATCTTATGGCAAGCAGTTTTATCATTAAAACATATTTCTTGATATCAAGAATTCAATTCTTGATATCACGAAATTGAATTCCTGATATCACAAAGTCAAATTCTTGATATCAAGAATTACCATTGCTTTACAACATAAAATTATTTCTTGATAACAAGAATTCATTTATTGATATCAATTAATAATAAAACGGCTTGCCATGAGATCGCGCCAGCTCGCCACAACTCGAGGTTCTAACTCGGCTAAGTGGGAGCCCTGCTTTACATGGGCAACTATGTTAATAGCTTTCAAAAGACTCAAAAGTACTTTTATCTCAAGGAAAGTAATACCACACTAGTACCATCCTACTGCAAACAATATAATACATGTACATACAAAACATTGAGACAATTATCTTGGCTTTCAATCATAGCTGACACTTTTTATAAATGAACAATTGAAAATCTATTACTACTTACTGACTAAATGTGAGTTATTATTCCTAGGCCTGGGGTCTTCTCTCTGTACTGGATCTCTGGATTGAATAGGAACTCCTGGCACTAATGAAATATAAACCAAGGAAGTTATTTAAGTACTAGTGAAATACATACTGTATCAAATATTGTTTTAAAGAATCCTAATGTTGTATATATTGTTACAGCTGTATTTTGATGTACACTACTTGCAACTTATTAACACTATTTCTCGTCAATGTCCACAGTGCCACAACATATAGAATCAACTTTTTAATAACATGATTTTCATAAGATACTGAATCACAAACATAAATGTTAATTATAAAGTGCAAGAGAAGCACTGGTACCCATATTTGAGTACCATGGCAATTCAAAACTACATGTAGTAGTGGAATCCCTTTGTATGTACTGTTCTAGACAGATTTGAATTGAAAAAGTAAAAGGAAAGACCAGTGCTGTAAAAGTATGACATGGCTAGCTGCTAAGCTTGAATCTCCCAAGCTTGAATCTCCCGATGTAAAAAGAAGAAACAAATAACAGAAATACAAGAAGGCAAAATGAGGAGAAAAGTAAAGGAGATCAAAAGATAAAAGATGGTGGGAGGTGGGGGGGGGGGGGGGGGGGGGGGGGGGGGAGAGAGATAGAGGTACAGAAGTGACTGACAAAAGTTGCAACATAAGAGAATTGTTAACCTGATCATGTAAACACTCTTTGTGTACAATGAGGTCACTACTTATATAAATTACAGTGTATTTTACAATTCTGTGTATCAGTTGAGCAGAGTTTTGAGAAAAGGATATAATCAAGGGACAAAATGTGTTTAAAAAGAGATGATCAATGATAAGAATTGTGTTTCAACTGACATGTAAAAGGATAGGGTATGAGAGAGACAGAACGAAAGAGAGAGAGATAGAGAGAGAGAGAGGGAACCAATGAATAGACAGAGAAAATGAGAACACTGTCCAAACAATTAGACAGGCTAATACATTGTATAAATTCATTTCATGTTTGTTTTTTGAGACAACGAAAACTACAAATGGAAAAGAGAAAAACTTGCAAATAGGTACACTGTACTCCAACTCCTCTGTATAACTTTAAGCCTCTCTAAAGTGTTGGGAGCCCCAAAAATTTGATTGCAAAATGAAGTGAAAGAGGATGTTATTTAACCCTGACTTCTTCAAGGATTTTCAAAATAAATGTGTATGAAGACGAATATTGATGAAAGAATACAAAATTTAGGCTTTCTGCGTACAACACAAAACCCAAGTTTTGAATTCTTTCATCAATATATTCATCTCCAAACACATTTGTTTTGAAAATTCTTGCAGAGTTGTGTGTTAAACGACATCCTCTTTCACAATTTGCCATCCAAATTTGTTAACAAATTTGTTAGCAAATTTGGGGTTTCAACACTTTAGTGGGGCTTTAAGCTACTTTTTTCTAGTGACATTTATACTCACTTCCTTGGCACAATTTGGTTCTAATGGTATTAAGTGTGGTGATATTGCTGGCTGAGTATAGTGTAAGGTTGACTTGAAGCTCAATGATGGCTTCACCTCCTTCATGGCCTGTACATTCAAGCTGCATCTCAAACACTAAGTTGTTTGGAAAAGAAAAGAAAACACGAATTTAAAATAAGAATGAATGAATGCATTAAAAAAATACATCTCACAGGATTGTGAATCGTTTACGAGATTACAGAGCACAATCTAAATATCAACAAGAACAACAACAAGTTAACAAAGTTTATCTGTTGCATGTTCTGGGTGGAAAGTCTATTATAGACGAGTAATGTAATCACTTTACTCATCTCCCCAAAATTATTTTCTTTTCCATTATTTATAAGTCAATGAAACAATGGATCAAATAAACAAAACACAATCATTAACAAAAGAAATGACAGATTACCTGTTTCTTTGACTGGAACTTTCCCATCCTTTGTGATATTCAAACTTGGATGATACAATATCCTTGGACTCTTGGACTTCACAGACATGGAATAATAAACCTGGCAAAAAACAATCACATAAAACTCCATTTAGATACCCAAAGCTTTTATAATATTAATAACATCATCGGAAGAAAACCATTAACATCTTATACAAAAGATTATTTAGTTAAAAACTTCAATTACATGCATATTTAGTACAGTCGGCTACCCCCCCCCCCCCAAGAATATAGAAAGACATTGTGATGGTTCTGGTATTGGAGGGGGGGGGGGGGGTGGTGGCTTTTAAAAGACATTAACAGAAAAATGCTCTCTGCCCATCTGTATTTTTTTCTAAATACTTTAAAGGTCAGTCCCCAGACGTAAATAATCATCTGTAAAAAAAAAAAAAAAAAAGACACGCACACAAATTTAACACTGGTTAATTGTTTTAGAAATACCTTTCAACATAGACCTAGGGGGGGGGGGGGGGGGGGGGGGGGGGTACGAGGACACTTTTTTTTGTTTTTTGGAGTTAAAAAAAAAAAAAAATCGCAACGACTCAGCCAGTCGCTGAATAAGCGGGGGAGGGGGGGGGGGGCATTTTTCTTCAATCACATAAAACTCCATTTTTATAATATTAATAACATCATGGGAAGAAAACCATTAACATCTTATAGTATACAAAAGATTATTTAGTTAAAAAATTCAATTACATGTATATTTAGTACAGTCGGCTACCCCCCCCCCCAAAAAAAAAAAGAAGATAGAAAGACATTGTGATGGTTTTGGTATTGGGGGGGGGGGGGTGGTGGTGGCTTTTAAAAGACAAGCAGAAAAATGCTCTCTGCCCATCTGTATTTTATTCTAAATACTTTAAAGGTCAGTCCCCCGTCTGATTGCTACACATCTGTAAAAAAAAAAAAAAAGACGCACACACACACACACACACACAATTATTAACCCTGGTTAATTGTTTTATAAATACCTTTTAACAGATAGACCTCTGTCTGTAGGATGGAGGGTTTACACAGGTACTGCTCACAAGTTTTTACAGTATATTGATTCATTGGGGATTAATAATAATTATAACATAGATTTGAAAAAAATCTTTAAAAATCATGACATCTCATAGCTCTATTTTATACATGAATACAGAACAAACACTGAAACAAAACATTAACAAAAAAACATAAAACAAATCAAACAAACAAAACATCCCCCTCCCCCTCCTAGAAATCTATTAATACTGATCCATATTAAGACAAGACAAGCACATTTCTTTTATTCAAACATCCATGGCATCAAAATAATGATGACACTGAAAGAATCAAAGCATAGAACACCCCTGTAGACCTTGAGGAGTACTGTATATATACTTACTTGTCTCTCACTGTACCATGTATAATAGAGTTTATTAATCCCTGTTGGTACTGCTAAAGGGTAATTGGTAGCTGCTCGGTTAATCTTCCCTTCTCGGATATAATAGAGCTCTGCTGAAACACCTGTAAAACATCAGACAGACAATCAAATAAACAAACATTAATCAATCTCATACAAAAAAGAATACGATAGTGATGATTCATGAGAGTGCCCTTAATCTCATATCCATACTTGTCATTAGAAACAATTGTACATACAAACGAAAGTCTTGTACACATATCATATACATGTACATTGTAAATAAAATGGTATGAATTAATATCAAAATGCTAGAAATGTATTTCAAAAATATTCATGTACCGTTGATATCTTCATGTATAGCCAGCCCTGTTACCCATCCTAATAATTTACAAGTACAGTTTTTCATGTAAAAATTATTTAAAAAAATTGATAATTAATAAATATTTTGTTGATTTCAGTTCCAAACCAATTGGAAAATGTAAAAAATGATTCAGTCATGGTGTGAAAAAATGATAATACATGTATATATTTTTTTTAATCCAAAGCCTTGAAACACTATCTTTCACTTAGAACAATGAATGAGTGTGCAGACATGTGAACCTTTGTTTTTGCGATGTCAAAATGAAACTGCAGCCTTATCTTGTGAAAATGACATTGTTTTTGTTAGAAATTCAACAAAATTTTGGGCACAGTTACACTCTAGAATATAAGGAACACGATGAACTCTTGTTTTTGTAATACAAATATCATATTAGCTCATTATCATCAGGAACATGGTTTAAGTTTTTGTCTACATCACTCTTCATGCAGGGTTATGGGTGCCAATATTTATTATTCTAGCCCTCTAGTTTAGGACATCAATTATCACCTAGCCCTAACTTTTAAGCCTTAACTTGTCTTATCTTAAAGATACTATGTCTCTTTTGCAGCCACCATCAAATTCTGTAGAACTTTGCAGGAATTATGAATATGCCACGTATGTCCTATCTGCGAAATTGTCCTCGTATTCAAATTATGTAAGGAAACCCATTTACTTTCTAGACTTCCCTGTCATACACTATAGAGTGACTGACTGACACATTTTTTTCTTTGGTAATAACATACACAAAATGAGCTGTAACAAGTACATGAAGGTAATTATGCTGCATTATTGTAGAGTGCTTAGAGACTTCTGATAAAGCACTGTAAGTGTTAGGCGCTATATAAGCAAGGATAATAATTATTATTTTGTCCCTATTTTCACGAAGTGATGGTAGTGAGGAAAATCGTCACGCAAATTGTATGCGATTTTCATTCACTACCGTCACTTCGTGAAAATAGGGAAGATTTGTCAACATCAATAACCCAATACATGACCAAAATTAAACTGATGAATCCTGATTGAATATTTGTGCAGCACAAAACGTACAACCGTTCGGTACAAGGATCTGAAAATCAGACTATTACTTAGGTGATTGCAATCATGTATGTTGATTTGACAACTAATGGTCGTTATTTTCTCACAGAAAGCCATTTTCAAACCCTTCCGTTTTGAGGGAAGTTCTAAATAAGTATAGTCTTTCGAAATTCAAATGCCGTTGGAATTTAACCTTTTCTTTTTTTTGACCTGCAAATGGGACATACATACATGTAGTCTAGTACAGTGTACCTTTAAATCTGTTCTTAACTTCCTATCATAATTAGGCACGTTCATGCGGCACTAGATGGCACTTTGCATGCGTACATATCTGAATGGTCTTCTTGTGGTGATTCAGCAATAAACAGCCCACAGCTTTGATATGGCAAGGTGGAAGAACATATCTTTTTCATTATGTCATCCGGTCTTACCCCTAACCATCCCATGTTTAATGAAAGTAAAAATAACATGTGAGTGTAAGAAGAGAATCATCGGGCCAATAACCGATAAAACTTTCTAAATAATAGCCTAGAAATGACCACAAAACAGGTAAAAATTGAGATTTTTATCTGGCAAATCTACCAAGAATCTGGAGTGTAAAAAAATGGACACTACCACACTGTACCTGTAATGCAAATACGATTTTCGGAAAATTCAGGTGTAATTTGCTAGTTTCTTTCAATGTTTATAAGCGAAATTTCTTTGGCAGCGAATTTGATACGAGGTCAGTGAGTGATCCCCATTGCTTGCGTGTTGAAAGTTAGGTCATATATAGATTGCATGGACTTGCGCATAAACAAATGGCTCAAAGGATCAAGAAAACATAATGTCAAGTGGAGAAAATAAAATGTCAAATGGAGAAATAAAAAAGCATTTGTATAGTCATTAGAGATCTACCGAGGTTCTTTTGTTGGTCTTATTTATTATATAATCTCAAATAGAATTTAGAACTTGTTGACAAGTTAAGAACACCTACGAATGGATGTTCTCGTGGTAATTACTTTCATTTTGCCAGCAGCCGATCTAGCATTGTTTTGGTAAATAGCTAGTCCGTTACCTTCCCACCGTGAACGCAAATCGGGTCCCAGTAATTTTGCACGCTGCTGATCTGTCGCTGTTGCAGTAGCCTCGTTGCAAGCGTTGGCAAACTGCCACCTCGCTAGCTTCCCAACACGGACTAGAGTAAAACCGCCAAACTTCGGATGTTGCCAAGCTTCGGACAAAAATTACTTCAACGGCTCGAACGCAAAATATGAGCCTAGCTCAGGCGGGTAACTTGCATGCATTTGATACTACTACTAACCTATATCGTTAGTACAGAAAGTTAGGGCAGGTTGCCGTCTGCAAAACTCACAAAAAACATCAAATTCAGAGACAGATTTCGGGTTACCTAGATTTGTACAGTCCCTTAACAGTGGAGTTAAGGTGTAGATCCTCCAATATATAGATTACAAACAAATCCTTGGCATATTTCAGGTGGTTTCTGCCAAAATTATGGGAGCTTATGAGATACTTTTTCACTCTATAGCGAAAATTTTCTAATGGCGGCCATTACCCCGGACCTAGGGGTACTATACAGGTTTCCCCACCGGAAGATGGCGCTCTTCCAAGCTACGGACAGGCAATATTGAGTGTCATTTTGACTACGAAAAAATAGCGCTTTTGTAAGATTTTAGCACCAAAATATTGTGCGAGTGTTATGAAAAACACCTTTCTGATAGTTCTACCTAACTTAAATCTACCCAAAACAAGAAAATAATACTTTTTTCATGAAATCAACGCAGTCAAACTAACCCCCGTTGTACAATTTTTTATCCGGTTTCCAAACCTCCGATGAATGCGCACTTTAGCGCGCGCGCTATACGTGCGATGTACATGCGCTATGCGCTATACGCGTGCTAGACGTGCGCTACACATGAACGTCCGAAGCTTGGCATGAAAAAAGGTTCGGTGGGTAAGTAAATAATTCTAGTTTTCCATTTCCTTTACTAATTTTCTTTTACATGACATACATAAAAAGTATTTGCACAATAATAGTATATTTGATATTTCAATAATTAAAAAAGAATTTAATGTTTTCCCCCGTTTTGTCTAAGTGTCCGAAGTTTGGCGGTCTTACTCTATTCATGTTCTGCGGAGAGTGTGGCGGAAGATTTTTTTGCGAGGTACGATTTCGGTTTTGAGAACACACATTTAATACGCACCCGTGCGTGTCATCCATCAGCTGTCAAATGAAAATTGTACAATTTTTTGTACAAATATCTGGTCGTACAGCACCTAAACTTTAGGACCGCAATGGCTCCTCGCTGCAAGCAATAAAGAAGTATATCGCTACCAATTTCGCCTCTTCTCTTCTTGCCTGAGAGATTACTTGATGAGGTAATCCCTGAAGCAGCTTTTCCAAGCTATACTGGGATACTGAGATTCATCATCATCATCACGAGCATCCGCGTCTGCATCGGTTTCTTCACGGCTCTTCAGCCACGACACCGAAGACGCATCCAATTATCGCTACCAATGACTTTAGGCTAAAGTAAAAAGAAAATTTCTTCAAATTTGCTACTGTCCTGACTCCTGACTTGGTTCAGACTGATTCTTTGTCTGTGTTTTTAAGTCAATTTTGTGAATAGACCCTAGAGTCTATTAGATCTAGACTATTATTAGGGAGGCCAATGCCCAAATCTAACTTTTTAATTACTAATTTGTTTATAATAAAACAAACATTAAAAGAAAGCATTTTCTTTCACTAAGAAAACTCACCCATCTGCCGACTCCAGAAGTTCCATAAAATAGGAGATATCCAGCTAGTTCCTATGAGGTTCCTTCTACGCCTGGCCGTACATAAGAGCCTTGAAACAATCAATTTCAATTACGTTGAGAATTAGACAGGCCCGAGGGAATGGGCGTGTCATAATGGTCATTGCCCAGACAACAAGTTCAAAACTTCGCGCGAAAGTACATTCATCATCACCGGCTAGCCTTGAATTAGTCGCACACACCGACACAGTACTGTAGGCCAGGTACGGTAATTGCATGCAAGCCGCGATCGAGCCATGCTAGCCATGGCATGGAGGGTCAAAACATAATTGCCGAAAGCTTGAAAGCCACTCATTGTAAATTAAGAAAGTAATTGAAATAAATAAATAGGCCTACCTTAGTTTTGCGATGTATTCCAATTACTATATTCTCATGAGTAAAGATCTGACACTGCATTATCATCGATCGATAAATCCAACTTGCACTTGCATGCAGCGATCACAATATGGAATCAAACATGACTGCACGTATTGATAGACGTGTACTACTTACGGAGATATTTCTCTCCCTCTCTCTCTCTCTCACTAACCATATGATGATATCATACACTAAAACACACACGCTCAAATCATGGCATTCATTACACTTCTCAATTGGAGTATAGACTGCTCACGTACTTTTTTTTTTTTTACTGAAATGTCTTTTTTTACACTTCTCATACATTACTGCACGACACTGGTGTCTAGTGCTGAGAAAAAGGTACTATGTGTGAGACTACGTCAAATTTGTTTTGCGCGCGATGAGATTGCGACATAATATTATGATGTCGCAAGACTTCTATTTGGGGCTGAAACAATGAGGTCTCTGTTCACAATTTTCCTTCTCAATGTGAGATGGCTCTAGCTATGGGGCTCAAACCAACGCAAGATTGACAAAAACATCGTACTCTATCTACCTTCGAATGTGCAGTTTGTAAAAATCTGCAATTAAAAAGATATAATCTTTTTTTGTTATATTTTCTAGTTGTTAAAAGTAGGGTGTCTGATCGCGCACCCGATGTTGTGTGCTAAAATTCTTCCCATAGAGATTACATGCATCCCTATGCAGCCTACGTGCATTGCGCGACCATGCAAAAAAAGTCAATTTTTTTTTTTCAAATCGAGATTCAAACCTTTATCAGTTGTGATCCTGAAGGTGATAATCAATGAATGAGGTGTCATATGAAAGAGCAGGTGAATTCCAATATTTCCAAAGGGGCGTAGCCCCCGAAATTCTAAAAATATCTTGGTCAAAACAGCAATTTAAACATTGTGTCCTGGCTAACTCTGAGGTTTGTCACTTTTGAGATATGACGCCCCGATCGATAAGTAGTCCCAGTCCTAAGGAACAATTCTATGTGATTATATTTTCGCTAGCCCCAGGGATCACAACTGATAACAGTTTAAAAATACCCTTCTCGCTATTTGGTGGATCAGCTAATTAGGAGGCGTGCGCTCCGCTCAGTCCAAACCATGGTTACATCGCGTAACATCTCCGCGCACGAACGAAACCCCAAATTCAATTACACATTATAGTGACTGAAATTATGGTTGGCAATTCCCTCGATAAACCCGGAAGTGAATACACGTTATAGTCAATGGCAATATCGCGGAGACAACGTGTGTTGTCTCCGCGATATTGCCATTGACTATAACGTGCATTCACTTCCGGGTTTATTGTGCGACGAACGCCAACCATACTAGTCAATCGCACATGTCGCGGAGACAGCGTAGCTCAAGCTGCAAGTCGCGGATTGGCTTAGCAGCATGCGTACGATATGCATACGCTTGCATATCGCGCGATACAGCTGTTTGGCTAAATTTAGCAAAACAACATCACTCTGCGTGGACGTCTTTTTCGTCGATTTTGACCAAAATGATATGAATATACCAGCGTGTTGGAGGGGCTGTAACTTTTGATAGAAACATCGGTGAGACTTGAAATTGAAAATTGAAAAATCGTTCAGACACCCTATTAAAAGTGACATTTGTGCACATCTGATATGTTAATCTCTATCAAAAGTTCTTTGATATTAAATTGGTTCCATATTTTTAGGCTCTACCTTCAGTCATTGAGAAGGATTTTAGTGAGCTAACCTCATCGCCCTCTAGTTTCTCTTGTGCGTCCGTTTTTTTCGTCTGCTAGCGCAATTATTGGATAAAAATACATCAAAATCTGCAAGATCGTCAATAAATGGTGAAAGATCTTTACAGATCCGCATATAGGTATGTTGTGGAGTGTGTAATTGTGTATTTGTTATACATTTTATTCCATAGATATTTGTTTTCTTTTTTTCCCCCTTTTTTTTTCTTCTGGTAATTTTCTGACTTGGACGACGAGCGCACAAATCGTAGGCGTAGAAGCCTTACGCCCGGGCATTGGCCTCCCTACTATCAACTCAATTATTAATTGCCCTCACAACATTTATATTATTCTTAATAAAATGACTCATACGATTGCAGTTTGTAGGCATTACTGCATCTTAAATGCCAACATAAACTAAACAGTAAACTAAGAAATGAACACAGCACTGCAGCATGCAGCTGAGAGAACATGCACTGCGGTGATTGCACTTTAGCACTGGCGAGAGCTAAAGCGATCCTCTGTACGCATACAGTACGTCCCACACATAAGGGAGGCTCTTCAACTTCATTTCATCATCTCTGTCATTGCAATGATAACAAAATTACGCATCAAAATTATTCAAAATACTCACCTACTAATCGTTTTACTTCAGCTGGGCTAATGAACAGGTTCATATATCCATTTACACAGTAAATACAAGAGAATAAAACCACACATTTAAGCAGAATTATATATAATGTTCTTGTAGCCATTTTCGCTTTTTTTTTCCTCCTGACTTCTTCACACACAGTAGCAAATGTAATGTCAATGACCCAAATACAGCACTCCTTAACCTTTGACCCATTAAGGATTTTGGAGAAGACTGTGCTCAGTTCTCATTGAAATAGGCGTGAGCTTTAGTGTCGCAATATTTGTAATTGTGTGACAACAATCTGACATTGAATATTTAGCGGCGGCTGTTTCAAAGATCATTCCCCAGTCAGTTTGGAAAGGAAAACAAACACCTTTTGTCGAAATTCTTCAAAACTGAGACAAGAATGGCTCATAAGGACATATCAACCCTGATAAGTGATCTAGATACTGACATTACTGGAGAAATTAGCACTTCTTTAGCGACAGATTTTTCGGTTTCCGCTGGCGATGAAACGGACGAGAATCGCCAGCGTAAATCCAGGCATTCCGACCGGAGACAACCCGGGAAGATCACTCGTCAGCTCATCGAAAGGAAGCAGCTGCTACACGACTTGCAATTGGTGAAAATTGAATTGTCGCAGAAGAATTTGATCATCGACAATTTGAATGCTGAACATTTGGCAAGCGTCGAAGAGCTCGAAGAAAGATTAGGCGACGCATCTCATACAAAGCAGATTTTGCAGGTGATTACAAAACAAGTCATGACTGAGACTGAGTGAGAGTGAGTGAGATAGACTAGAGAGTTGATTTGAGACTGTGTGTGTGGTGTATTGTGAATGGAAATTTGAAAGCATGTTCACTGATCACACAGCATAACTCAATTTTCATTTTAGCTACGAGGAAGCAAGGTTGCACTGGCAATAAAATAAATGAATAAACTGTAGATCTAGATCTAGACCTAGAGTCTATTCCCTTTTTGTTATTTTATTGAGGTAAATAAACTGCAGACTATTAAATAAACACTTACAAAGTGTAGATAAGAATCACATGAATGAGAATTGAGAATATTGCACAGAGTTACATTGGATGGTCATAGATGAGAATTGACATGAATAAATGCAATGAATAAATTAAACTTACGACAGAGTGGAAATGATGTCGAACGTCCAATGAAGATGATAACGGTTGAGAACGGTTGAGTCTTCGGTGTCGTGGCTGAAGAGCCCTGAAGAAACCGATGCAGACGCGGATGCTCGTGATGATGATGATGAATCTCTCAGGCAAGAAGAGAAGAGAAGAAAATGTGTGGCGCTCGATGATGAAGCAGTGAGTCAAACTTTGATGTAAAGTTCATCAGAGCAGCAGTGAATCGAACTCGTTGATGATGTCAGGCAAGCTACGGTGCGTCGAGCTTGTGTGAGGTGAAGTAATACCGAAGCGAATCAAAGTGACTGGCAGCTCCCAGCGGAAATCAAGCGCCATGTCGGTCCTGATTAAAACGTTCCATTAGAAGACTGCCAAGCCCGCTGGAGATGGCAGAAAAGACAACGTGTACAATGTATGAGACACGGAGAGCAAAATACTGAGACGTCTGACTTGACTGAAGATTTAAGCAGGAGTGAAGAAAACCTTGTGGTGTTGAAAATACGCGGGGTGAATGGTGCGCGGAACCACGGTGTGCGATTGGAGGGATAAACACACGTGGTTCGAATAAATGAATATAAATAAGTAGCGTGATGGAAAATTACTGAGAACATGAACTCCAGGAGGACCATAATAGACTTGCTGAATGGTCCTCTGAATGGATGATCAATTTACGAACAAGTGCAAGGCCATCACAGTGTCCAGGAAAAAGAGCCAGATACGACACCAGTACATCCTGAACAAGGCACCACTGGAAGAAGTCTCATCAACCAAGTACCTTGGCATCACAATCACATCCGACTTGAAATGGGACAAACACATCACAACTATATGCCAGAAAGCAAACAACACCCTCGCCAGAAAAAGGGATGATACTTGATGGCCATATGCCCACAATTATAACATTTTTACACAGCTGCGCCAGAAGTGTCCAATTTTGACAGACATGGCGCATTATAATTGCTCACTATTATTATTATTATACCACCCATGTGAATGCCAAGATATTTGGGATAATTCTTAGGTATGTAAACATGTGATAAAAATGTTTGTTTTTATTTTCTACTTCAGGCCAGGCTTGAAGCGCAGCTGAATGTAAACAAAGAAGAGGCACGACATTTACAACAGAAGCTCCACGCTGATCTTCACACAATCACAGAGAAACAGCACCATCTGGAGGCCACAAATGCAGAGTTGCAGCGACGAGCTGGAGATGTGAGAAGGGTATTGCATAACTTAGATCTGTCAGATGAGCAGTATGGGGCATTGAAAGAAATGAGAGAAGAAGTCCTAACTCTAAGGGATGTCATAGCAGTAAGTGTTTATCATTATGTGCACTTGAATAGTTCTCATTGGTATTGTTTGATTTCAAATTCCTATTCATTCTTGCATTCTAATTTGATGAGTATAGCATTAAGATGTGTACTATATATCTCTATCTAAAGTTCTTGTTAGATTATTTAGCACTAATAATCATATCTCTATTTCAGTGGTCTGTGATTGAAATTAAAGGTATTTGTTTCCAGAAATGAATAGTTGAATTACTTCCTATGACTTGATTGACAGATTAATATTGGATATGAATTAATTTTTGTCAGGTAAAATTCTATGAAGAGAAGCACCCACTGCTCCTGAAGCTGACTGATCTTGAAGGATGGAAGCAGATGTTAGAAACAGAGCTTAAGAGGAGTAGAGAGGAACAATTTAGATTACATGAGGTACAAATTAGATTAGCAGCTTTATTCAGAAACACAGTGAATACTACTTATGGGAGACAAGATATAAGGCACTTCAAGGCAGGTGGTCTGTATGTACAGGTTCATTAAGTATTCATTTCCAGTGAGAAACATTTATTTGAGGAAACTAAAAATGTATTACATGTTATACCAATGAAAAACAATTTCTGTATTATATTATGGACAATAAAATCTTGAATCTTGAATCTTTATAGACATTAGACAGGTAGTCACTAAAGCAAGTTTCACTTACAAGGGTCATATAAAATAAGAAGGAGAGAGAGAGATAGCTGGATAACTGAGTTTAAAGGCTGAAATAAATCATTGGAACTGAGCTGGGGAGAGAGAGCGAGGAAATGATTTGGTATATTTTTTGTTTAAATTTGCATTAATATTTTCTTTTTGTTTAAACTTGGGGGGGGGGGGGGGGGAGTGGGGTGTCAATACCTGAGAATTTTGTCATCAATACCAATTTCTAGTTTTTCTTCTTTTAAGCCTAAATATCTTTTGTGTTGAGTGTACTGTAGTCTACTAATAAACTGAACAACACGAATTATATCACTTGTGTTTTAATGTTTGTGTTTATTATTCTAAGTAACTTGGAAATTTATGAGAAAAACACCTTTCCTTTCTCTCACCAACTTAAAACTAAGTTATACAGGAATAAGGTTTCATAAATAATTAACCCTTAAGCAATTTTATGATCCATGTTTTAAGTATGAGAACCAGGTTGTCCTGTGTAAAGCTTAGTGGATAAGATGCAGTTGCCAACAGGTAAAAGAGCAATTGTTTTGTGATTGGTGAAATCAAAGTCTAGAATATCTGGAGTATATCGCCTCTTGATGCAAAGTGATAATGTCCTGAGAAGCTTTATTACTACATGTTTAAGCAGAGCCGGATGTTCATGAACTAGACATTTATCTTATATCCTAAGGCACTAGAGAAGGAACAACGGTTGAAAAGTGACGCTGAAGGAAAAGGTCAAAAGCTGACCATTGACCTTGCCAATTTGAAGTCAACACAAAATCAAAACGACTACAAGCGAGAAAACTACAACAGAATCAAGAGGTCAGTATTGAAGGGAGAATTTTCATCTGTATTTCAGGGCTAGGTGACTTTTGGTAAATACTTTGATCTGGCATTGTGCATCAGTTGTGCATTATTATGAACAGGTTTCAATATTTCATACTTTACTTTTATATGAAAATTATGATGTAAGAATTATTCAGACAGACTTTGGTAAAACCCAAGGTTTATAGTTGACTATCAGTTTAGAGTGTAATGATAGACACTAATATTCTTCTATTCACAAAGGTCCACTGAATGAGGTTGTATCATCATGTTTTCTGTAGGTTATTACCGGCTTAACAGAGCTGCTCTTGGAAAGTAAATACAGCATACATCTGTATAAACAAATTTTGTTGAAATTTGACTTTTAGGACCAAAGATTTTGACAGACCATTATCTATACAAAATACAATCATCGGGGTTAATGTAATAAGCCAGTTCACGGTTGCAGTCTGAGCATGAGCAGATAAAGGTCATTGCAGAACAAATTTTGAAATACACGGAGACGAAATACTGGATACGTGCTCATGAAAGTTATGTAACATTATTCATTCATGCACATTCAGTGCACTCCATGGTACACAGGTGGAAGTATTCTTTGAAAAGGGGGAACAAAGGCTATTTATATATAGCACCTCCATCGCTGTAGGAATGATTATTTCAAAATGTACAAAGTGGGACCTCTTCATGTTTTGAAGCTCTGTGGATATTCGGGGTCATTGCAGTAACGTACTAACCGTGAACTGGTCTATTGGTTTTATTCTTTATTTGTTGAGAGATTTATGTTAGCATTTGAGAGGTAAATTGCTTTCAGCTTCCTCTTTTTGTGCTTTGACTATTGCTAATTTGTTGAGTATAAGCGAGTTCGTAAATAGCTTTGGAACGCATGACCCCAAAATATCCACAGATCTTAGACACGATGGATACTTGCCACCTGTGCATTTTAGAATAATCACTGCCAAAGTGATGGAGGTGCTTCAGGAATACTTCCACCTGTGTATCAGATAAATGTACTGTTGGTGCATAAATGAATACTGATTACATAACTTTCATGAGCACGATCCGAGTATTCGTCTCAATGGTTTTACAATTTGGGTACGAATGACCTTTATCTGCCCATGCGCAAATCCTAATTACGAACTCGCTTATTGCAGTGGTATTGAGTACATTGTGTTTTTGTTTGTTTTGCAGTGAGAGAGATGATTTTGAACACCAGCTAGATGATATCCAGAAGCAACATACCTATCTCAATGTCACCTTCAAAGGAGTGGTTGAAGAACGAGATCAACTTGTCAAAGAGGTGAAATGATCTTTAACAGCGTCTTAAAATTACTTTGGCCATTAGAAATAGTTAACTTTTGTGATTGTACTTAATAAAAACGATGAACAATCTTATATTTTTCTCAGCAAAGATTTTAATTTCATGACTGGTCATAAATTCATAAAATCCCATTTTGTTAGTTAGACAATGTTGGTTTGTTTGTGTTTTTTTTCTTCTCATTTTTAATGGAAATAAAGTGTAAACTGACAAATAAAGGGGCACACCATCTAAGTCTCCTTTTGGACATCTGCACATAACGAGTGGACTTGACTAACCTTAGTCAGCGATCTCTACATGGTCAGCGTTCGCGAAACAGACCACAAAGTTCTTCTCACGCTTTGGTTTTGCGTATGTTGCACGCACGTGATAGCTGCGGTCGCATCCGTAGTCGTATATACCTGATTGGCCTCAAGTCAGGCTACGGGAAAGACACATAGTCTCGTCAGTTTACACCCCCTTTAATGAACATTGATGGCACTATTTTACAGCATAGCAGTAATGTGATCCTCTCAAGGGTTGATAATGATTGCACATTCTTTTATTAAAATAAGAAGTAGGGTATAGAAGGTATGGTATATGAGATGTAGCTTATCAGAGAGGTGAGAAAACAAAGCCACCATCTATATTCACATTCTGTGCAAAATATCCTCGTACCAGCAATTTTATAGAAGCTCTTATTAAGAAGGATTGGTATGATGCATGCTTCATGTATGCCTGGAGGAGTAACATCAGCCTTCTTTCTATTTTTGTTTGACAGCTTGCTGATAGGAAACAAGAGTTACTCCTTCTTACCCAAGACAATGGCTACTTCTCCAAGCAGTCCAGTGATGTCAGCAACAAGCTTGCTTATGCAGAAGAACGTCTCCTGACTGTTCAAGCTGATCTAGACCATGCCAAGAGATCTAGAGAAGAACTTTATGAAAAGTACATTGAATCCAGGTTAGTCCTAATTGTCAGGTGGCTTAGCGTCAAATTTATCGATTATCGTTACTTGCCGGATAAAGGCAACATTTTTGATACAGGGCTTCTTAATACTTACTGAACGATATATGGCTAGGAGCCCCTGGCAAAAATTTCAGTTCAAGGGTGTGGGGGCTGGGACGTCTTTTTGGAGCCCCCAAATAATTTTATAACATTGATTTGTTGTTGTACAATTGCCATTTTTGGTACAGGGCTTCCTTAGGACCTACTGAACGATATTAGGGTAGGAGCCCCTGGCTAGAATATCATATAAGGTGTGGTAGAAAGTAATATATAACCTGTTGAACACTACAATGGTTTGTTTCAGAAGGCAATTCCTTGCTTTCATGGCCTCTTGATAGACTCCCACGTATTGCATTCATGGCATGTTATTAACTGAGCTGTAGATTCAATTTAGATTTTGTGATTTCTTGGTTGTCACAAGATTGGTAAATGCCATGAAAAACCCAATACAACTTTCTTTGAAGTGTTTATTGCATTTATCTGCATCACTCTTTCTTGCCTTTTAGCAACATGCTATTTTCTTCTCCAATTCCTCTCCTTTTCAATACCTCTCTTTTTTCACAAACGACATTTGGCTATGCTATGATTTCATATTACTGCACTATGTTTATAACTTCATATGACTGAAATATGTATAAATCCTTATAATTTCATTATTAGCAGACATTGATTTTATACTCTGTTTGTATGTTAACCTCAGGGATGGATGCAAGGCAGAGTATGAGAACAAACTGAGACTATGTTTATATGACTGAAATATGTATAAATCCTTATAATTTCATTATTAGCAGACATTGATTTTATACTCTGTTTGTATGTTAACCTCAGGGATGGATGCAAGGTAGAGTATGAGAACAAACTGAGAGAAGAGCTTGAATCAATCCGACTGAGAACAGAGACTGAGATTGATAAGCTGAAGAGCACCATGCGAGATACCTTTGAGAGAGAGAACAGGTGCGTCAGTCAAATTTAAGTTCAATTTATTTCTCCATAAATGCAAAACATAGGGAGCTACATAAAATAAAATACATACATACAATACAATAATAGAACATGTACATTATATATAAAACGACTCCAGTTGGAGCAATGTATGTTTTAAAAAGAAAAAAAATCAGCAAATGTGGAAGCGGTAGTCAAAAATCAAAAATAGGGACTTTTAGAATTGCACGTTGACAGCCTTGACTGCAACGTGTGACGTCATTTTAAGGCACTGCGCATACGTCACGTCGTCTCAGTCGGTGATCGAGAATGCGTCAACCTTGATTTTCCTAAATCTAGTACGGTACTAGTATATGCCGTGTGCGCATAAAATATACAGTTCCTCAGGTAGACAAAGGAACATCCCTTCCCTGCTATTATGTAAAAATGTGTAGAACAGGTGTCACATGCATGTTCACCTGTTCTACACATTTTTACATAATAGCAGTGAAGGGATGTTCTACCACGTAGCAATAGGCCATTTTCATAATGTAACCAAATTTAATGCACAGGTCTTTGTGAAGTGCCTCAATACAAACTATTTCATTCACCTGATAGGAATAATAGTATTTCAATAGACAGAATCCTAACTGCATACATTATAGTTGTTGCCAGCTAGGTTGGACAAACATTATGGCTTGACCTACCTAGCAACACTTAATATATGCAGTTGCATTCTGACTATTGAAATACTATTATTCCTATCAGGTGAATTAAATAATTTGTATTGAGGCACTTCACAAAGACCTATGCATTACATTTTGTTACATTACGAAAATGGCCTATTGTTGAGAGTAGAATGAGAAACTGTATATTTTGTCCTCTTTCTTTGTCTGTCATATTCATATAGCGTTACTTCCTACATGCATGTATATCGTTGAGTGCAATCTAAAAGATTTCTAATTGTAGTCAACATGGGCAGTTGAGTACGTTGACACGCATGGTCAGTTGGCGTTCGTCGTGTTCTCGTCCACTCATTCTACAAGTCCCTAATAATTTGTCGAGGATTACCCTCAATAAAAAAAAAAATTATACAATTAAAACTTAAAAGTAAACATCAGATAAAATGATGCGGTGTACCAATAACAAAAAAGAAGAGGGAGAAAAATATCAAAGACGGGGGGGGGGGGGGGGGGGTGTGCATCTACCTATATGTGAATGTTGTAAAGGATGGGTTACTTAACAGGAATAATCTTAACTTAGCCTCACTATACCTCAGTCACACTAACTAACCAACACCAGACTTTGGAATAATGTTAATTGTAATTAATCCAATATTTAATATAATAATACATTCAGGAGGCAATATAAGAAACATTTAATTTGTTCCTATTGATTACTTAACCCTTACTGTACTGGGCTATTTTGAGCACCCTCTGACTGGGGGGGGGGGGGGGGGGGGCCTGGGAGGCCCCCCCCCCTATGATCTCGGCCGTCGAATGTCCGATGAACACGAAAATTTGCATATTTGTAGATATTTACGTAAGGAACAAGATGGTATAATTAGTTCTTTCCTAATATGCAAATTTTTCTCGTTATAGCCTAATTAATTATGCAAAATGCTAATTTTATGCATTTTACAGAAAACTCTACATATTTGTCCGTAGACTTGTGAAGAATCTTGAAAATGTATTGAATAAATGTTTCCTTCATCTCAAATTCATGAGGTTTCATTATTTTTATGATATTTGAAAATGCATAGGTTAATTTGCATAAATTATGAATACGCAAATTACTCATTCATGAATATCAAATCTGGAACTATATTTAGGGAACTAGAATCATTACAAGAATTGTCAGACTCCACTTTTTGAATGTTAAAAGTCATTATTCATATGAAACTTCTTTTCTAACACAAAATAGTTATTTGATGTAATTAATAATGATAATTTATGCAAATTTGATGCGATTTTCAACTATTTATTTTCTTATGTATTTTATTGTTTTTTATTTCTTATTATATCTATTGTTTTATTTCTAATGTATTCTTTTGTTCTGGAATACATCAAGTTCATTTGATATCAATTCATATCTTCACATTTCTGCTTGTACGTGAATATATGCAATTATAGCACTTTTTTGATGACATGCGCATACTAATTGTTATGTAATACCTTACAGGTATATCCGATTTTGACGAAAATGGTATCAAAATGTGCGCAAGACTTGAGGGAAAAAAGTCATGAAACGACAATTCAAAATTCCAAGCGGTTGCGGCGCGATCTTCGAAAATGTCGAGGGGGGGGCCTCCCAGGCCCCCCCCCCCCCCCCCAGTACAGTAAGGGTTAAATTTGTTAAATATCTCTTCTTAAATTATCTTGTAGAACCATACCATACTGTTCGATACTCTTATATGTTTTTTATTTTATATTCTCATGTTTGATGTTTTTATGTATTGTTTGACCAATCTCTAAATTTTATAATAATAATGTAAAAACAAACAAATACATAAACTAGGTGTACACACTCTAACAAGCCACAAACCTGGCTTTCATTGTGTTCAGCATTTTCCAATTATCCAATTACCGGGTATGTTTTTTATGTCGTCCGTCATTACTGGATTATGTATTATACGGTATACTTTTCCACTTTCTGCTCTTAACCTTGTTTCTCACTGAATGCTATACTTGTTTTGTTTTTTAGCTTCTTAATCGTTTGACTGAAATGTCATAGTTTTATAATGTTTGTATTGCCCATTGACTGTTTATACACAATGTTTTAATTGATGTTGGAATTTGGAAATAAATTATTTGAATTAAACATCATACCATAGACTAACAACAGACCAAACAAAGATAAGTACATTGCAAAACCAAATGGCCAAGAATCATTTGGCTTGGAGTCGGTTTAGTGTCATTTTGGCGGTGTGACTGAGTTATTACATCGTGTATGTTTATGATGTAAACAGGCTTATTAGAAACAAAGTTAGCACTATTTTGATCTATAGCTACTGTATGCAGGGTTACAAGCGACTGGGACAAATAGCCCACAACATTCTGAGTCTGTACCCCCCCCCCCCCCCCAAAAAAAAAAAAAAATTAAATCAAAATGTTAGCATATAGTTCATGCATAGATAACTTAACATTTTTTTAATCCACCCCCTTCCTACAGAAAAGTCAGTGTGGAGTCCTACTGTATGAACTAAAGTTGAATGCCATTCATGAATGCAGAGACAAAGTTGTAAGTTCGAAAATCTTTTCTGTAAGAAAGACATGTTTTAAAAGTATGCGTTTTTTATTTTATTTGTTAGGAGTCTGCGGGAGGCAAGAGGCAATGCCATCTTAGAAAAAGACAGAGCGTTATCATCAGCTCAGGAAGGCAAGACCAAGTATGAGGAGCTCTTTGCAAAGTAAGTCATCTCTTATCAATTCATATCTGTAGTTTATTTATTTATTTATTTATTTATTTATTTATTTCTAATCTTTTGACAGGGTAGCCCATTCACCAACAAGTAGTGGTCTTCCACGGGGCCCTGAATGAACATATTTACATCGTTTATAACATTTACTAGCAGGACCCGCGGAAATCCGCGGGATTCTAGAGGGAAAGAAAAAAAAAACAGCGTCCCCGCCTGCTTCCTTTTTGGGGGCCGCCTCCCATTTTTTTTTTTTTTTTTTTTTTTTGAAAGAAAAAAAACATGAAAAGCACCGCTAAAATGTATTTCTGATTTTAAAAAAGAAAAAAAAAAAAATTGTCCGCCGCCATCTTGAAAAATAGCTCGAATGTCAGGGAAAAATGTACGGAGCGGCCATTTTGAAAGAAAAAAAAAAAAAAAAGGGCCTCCTCCTTCCCATTTTTAAAAAAAACAGGACGCTAAACATGTTTTTTTTTAAATTTGGCCTTATATAAAAATTAAAAAAAACGATCCAACTGTACCGGTAGTTATTCTTTAAGCCACTGGAACTGCGTAGAGTTCCGTAGTGTGGCGTACCGACTACGCAGAAATTAGGCTGCGTATTAATGGGAAAATAGTCCCTGCGTAGGTTATGCGTAGGCTGGCGTACAGGTTTGCTTATGGTTGCTTACTGTGTGGAAAGCTTTTACTGCTTAGTCGATCTGGCGTAGGGTAGCGGACTGTTGCGTAAAAAGGCGTACTTTCTGCGTCAAGTTTCTACGCCGAAAGTACGCGAAAAAAAGTAAACATGTTGAATTGTTTTCGTTCACCTTGCGTACCCCTTTCCGTCCCTCAGCATATAGTAACGTAGGCCAGCGCTACGCAACACTACGCAACTCTACGTATTGACCCCACGCCAATTAGTGACCCGCAAGTGTCACAAATAAAGTATTAAAAATATGCTCATCTGACCTTAATTAAACGCCTAAAACCCCCGAGCTTTCGGGGGTTTATGGCCCTTTGAAACCCGTGGACCCCACGCCTATATTATATTTACACTTAACTCGCTGCGATCTGATCTCTCCCCCCCCCCCCAACTTTGAAGAACGTAACCCCCTAGCTTTTGGGGGTTTATGGCCCCTTAAAACCCGTGGACCCCACGCCTATATTATATATACACTCAACTCAGGACCCACGGAAATCCGCGGGATTCTAGAGGGGGGCGCAGGCAAAAAATTAAGATTTTCATGTCGGGGGCTCCATTTCAAATTTTTGGGAAATTTTCGGGGGCTACTTTTTCAACTTTCGGGGGCTCTTTTTTCTGGGGCTACTTTTTCATTAATTCATAAAAGGATAGGCCTACACTTTGTTTAGTAGGCTAAGGTTTCAGGCTTCCTACTTCATAATTGCCTGTTTAAAAAAAAAAAACATTTTTCTAGTTCAATAACTAAGTTTTCATGCATTGATTTGATGCCAGAACTGTAACATAATAGACCCTAGATTGTGATTATTTCTGACCATGAATTTTGATAATCATTTTTCAAAGTAAAATTTTCACAAGAAAATCAGACAGTCGTTTAAAGACGTAGACATTAGTAATACTTTTACTAATTCTAAGCTCAGGTTTTGTAAATCTATTCACGAAACTATATTGAAATCGCGGCAATTAATAATGATGCAAACCAACAGATAACAATTTCAAAGTGTCAAATCTCTTCGACTCAAGCTCAGCTCAGGTGTACTCACACACACTACAGCGTAACTCCAGGAAGCTCGAACACCGGCGCCGCAGGCGTCGGACGCCTCCGGTGCGCGGTGCCGGTGTTGGAGCTTCCTGCAAGCTCATCTGAACTCACACACACTGCACAGCAGCACTGCACTGTGTGTTGACTGAAGGCAGCTTGCGACTGAACTGTCAGTCCAATGGTTTTCTTGTTAAAACTTTCCTTAAGAAAATGATAATCAAAATTTAGTATACATTGCCGTAATAATCACAAAATAAGCTTTGATTTCATACCTCCATTCACAAAAACTATATAAAAATCGCGGCAATAATGATGGAAATAGGTCTCTAAGTTTGGACGTGGACGGGAAGCTTCGTGTGTATCTCTGTGGCTTGTGCAGCTACTACAAAGGATATCCTATAGAAAGATGCTTTACTCGGGTAAGCCCGACCCTGTTCATCGTGCATTTAATACGAAACTTAATGTGAGTGGATGGTCATCGGTCGTGTGTCTACGGATGTAATGTTGAATATCCATGAGGTATCTCTGTCGTCACGCATATCCTGCATTATGCATATCGCGTCTGTTTTCGCCCTGGACGTCGACACGGAGGAGGACCTCGGGCGGAGTATAGCCAATTCCACAGAGTATACTCTCACGCGGACGATGGCACCGGTCACCGGGACCCCGAGGGGAGGGTTCAGGAGGAGATAGCTGCACCAACTTCGGTCGGCGATCTCATTAAAAAACAATAGAATACAAAGGCCGGCGGAGACGTCATGCCCCCCCCCCCCCCCCCCCCCGGAGCCTTCTCGTATTATTATTATAGAAGATACAGAACAGTTACAAAAATAATACTCATTACTCGTTACTCGTTCAGCAGTAGTTTATAAACTAGTTTATAAACTACTGCTGAACATTATATTGATGTATTATAATACAAAGTGTTTTCTGGCCATGTTAATCATTTTGTCAGACTTAAAACAACAACAAATAGCATTTACATTAAACAATTCTTCACCTGTCATAAAACCTGTGGTTGTAATCACACTTGGGTGTCGGACAAGGAGAATATTTCTTCAAAGCATTTGAAAGTGTCAAGTACAAGGCGTTCTAATTTTTTCTCTTACAAGAGAGAAACAACGTTTGAAATTAAAGGGTGTCCATTTCTGTGATTCATACAATCCAATCTGTGATGTCTCAGGTACAGGGAATTACAAGCCACCTCTGATGCCAGAGCTATGGAGCTGAGTGGTGAAGCCAAACTAAAGAGCTTTGAAGCAGAGAGATCCAATATGATTCAGGAGGAGACACAACGTAATCTTAAGCAAGCACAGGTGGACTGTGATAAACTACAAAAGAAACTAGAGGTAAAGTGTGCTGGGGTTATGTGATGCAATTGGAGAGTATGATTGTCACTAAAGGTCTAATTTGTTACAAAATGATATACAAATGTCAATACACAGGTTTATATATACCAATTGATTTTGATGAGGATTCAAAATTGAAATTTAACTTCAAACTGGACCAGGGAGATATAACATTCTATAATTTTCAAATGTGATTAAAAGTGCCACTTACGCACAGAATTCGTTTTGCAGTATATTTTAATAAATGATTGCTTTTCTCTGAAATAATTTCAGGTTCTGACCAAAGAATATTACACCTTGCAATCTTCAGGAGAGAGAAGGGCAACTGAATTAGAAGCACAACTATCAGAATTGAAATCAAAACTAGAGACTTATGAGAAACTAGAGAAAGAACTTGATGATGTAGTGATGCAGGCTGCCGAGTGTAAGTAAACAAATCTATGATCTGAGACCTATGCATTCTTTTTGAGTCCAACGGTTAAAAAGTCATATAATCATGCATTATTGTCAGCATTTGGGATTTCTTTAACTTGGTTCTACTTACTTGTGAGATTAATGTTGAAACATTTTGACATACAGATCGCTGTAGTAGTAGTAGTAAGACAGGGCTAATTTTTTAGAGGTGTTGTGGTCCATTGGATAAGTCTCTGGACTGTAAACCAGAAGGCACTTTGTTTGAATCACTTTTGCACCATTAATGTCCTTTGGCAAGACATTAATCTATAGTTGCCACACTCCACCCAGGTGAGGTTAATGACCTGGTAGGAATTAGTTTCTTGAAATGCTCGAGCACTGAAGTGGCAGCCGTGCAAAAACTAGGGTAGTATTTATGGAGCACCAGGAGTGGTATTGTGCCAGACATGAGCACTATTATTATTATTATTTGTGTATGACAGATGACCAAGGAGATGAGGCAGAGAAGGTGCTGTTCTCATATGGTTATGGAGCTAATGTGCCTTCTACAGCAAAAAGGAGATTACAGCACAGGTGAGATATGGATTTTGACAATATCCAGCTAATATATAAATACTTTATTATTCAAAGAATAAGCAGTATATTGGCAGTGTATTGATTCATATTGGCAGGTGTTGGTGCCGCCAGGGAAGCCATATATATCTATTGAGTGAGGCTATAATATTTGAGAAAGTTAAACTGTCCGCTTTTTAAAAATGAATACATGAATAAAGAGCCTGAAAGAAAAGGAAAAGTAAAACCATCACTCATCAACACAATAAGAAAGAGGCCGATGCAATTTGTTGGTCACATATACAGAAAGGATAATCTAGGGGGAAACAAATCTTAACAGGGAAGATTAGTGGAAAGAGAGGCAAGGGAAGATAAAGCCTCACATATTTGCAAAGCCTGAACAAACGGGTGATGAAAATAAAATCAGCAAAACCAGCTTTTTGAAGAAGAGCAGATAATAGACAGAAATGGAGGCCGCAGATGAGTTATTCAATATTGCTTTTAAGGTTAACATTGAAATGACTTTCATGTGTGGCAAATAGGTATTTTGATTTACCGAAACCATTTGTGTGCTACCAAGTAATTATTTGATACAAATATGTTTATAAGGCAACTTTGTGATTTGTTTTATATCTTTATTTATGACATGAGAAATATCGGTGTTCTATAATGTCAAATGTCTGTTGCACCCACTTGATCACTAGGTTTTACCAAGAGAGCTATGTTGCTAAATCTTTATTTTTCATGAGGCCGCCATCTATTTCTAGCCTAACTGCTCAAGATGGCAGTCTCCTGCGTTCTAAAATTCATCTCTTTTATTTAGTTCAATGAACAAAATATACATACAGTATATCTGTTATTCTTGTTTGTATGCTTTGTATAATGGTTATTGTATAGATATTATTAGACATGATTTGCTATTTATGTAATACTTATGTAAAAATGTATAACTTTGTATTTGTTATTAGAACACAGAAATAAAAGCAATCAAACAAACAAACAAACAAATGTCAATAATATATTTGTGATATTCAAAAGAAAGTCAAGGAATTCTTAATCCAATACTATTCAATACAATATTAGAATTTAGATAATTAAAACTTCCAAATGGGACTGAAAGGATGAATTGACCTCAGCTCAACTAAAACTCATTCTGAAATTTGATTTCTGATCAGTGTCCATCTGGCAAGGAGGGTTCTAAGCATAGAGAGGATGAATACTTCTCTCAAAAGAGATCTTGAGAGAGGAGAGACCAAGATTCACCAACTAGGAGAGGAGGTAAGAGAAGGGGAGGGAGATCAGGGAGACCAACACAACAACCCACCCTCCCCCCCCCCACTCCGTGAACGGAGGGATACCATGCGTGTTACCAAAATGTCCGGTAAAGGGGTACTTTTCACGCACCAAAGTCCGGCCCGTAGTACACAAAAATCGGACACCGGACTTAGGGGGGTGTTTATAGGGGGGTGTTATTGGGGATTACTTGACATATCCTCCACATTTTTTGCACTTAAGCCGATGAAGATATGGATAGACTGTATGATGTTTTTTTTTGTGATAAGAACATTTGTTGATTTTTTAAGATTTTTTTTTTTTTTTTTTTTTTGGGGGGGGGGGGGGAGGGGAGGGGGTGAAAGATTTATGTCATGTTGAATTTTCCAGATGTACGAGGTCCAGATGCAGGGGAATGTATATACCAGTAACACACTGAGCGAACTTGATATGAATCTAAGATATGAGAGTATGGTACAGTGGGTCATTGATTTGTGAGAGAGGTTTTAGGATGGGGTCTCTGCTATGTGTATCCTTACTGACATGGCAATGTATGGAAATGTAGGTCTATCTCTCTCAAACCAGGTTATGAATTGGGATAGGGTACACAATATTGAAATATTCCTTGTTACTATACTATAGTTCTATATATATATTATAGTATTAATGACTGCTTTGAGAGAAATAGTTGTTTTTATATGCTCAAGGGAAGGTTAGAATTGTAACCTTCCCGAGAGCGTATAAAAACAACTATTTCTCGAATATTAAAGCAGTCATTAATACTTTTATATGCCGAAAAAAAATAGACTAAAAAATAAAAAATAAAAAAACTTTTGTCGAAGATGGGATTCGATCTCTTGCGTACAAAAGGTGATGTAACTAAAATCAGCGCCTTAAACCGCTCGGCTATCGCGCTCTGTTACCATATTTAACAGTTTTCTCTAATATATACATTAAAATGGATTGAAAACGGCTTCGTGTGATTGATGATTCGCGGCTGCTCCATTTATCGGGCCCTTCTTTTACTTTTGCAATGCATATTGGCACGAACTTAGATCAAGATCTATCGGCAGATGTTGTTTTTTTTGTTTTTGGAAGTTTATTTTCGTCTTCATGTCAACAATGCAAGATAAAATTGTCGGTAAGATCGATCGAGATTCAATTGTATTGAAATTACCGACCAATTCTTCGCACACGTACGGTATCCTCGATCGCTCAAACCATTTTTTAACATGTAAACCTATGGGGTAACCATGGAGACTGACCTATTTTTCCCAATAACCATGGTTATTGGGAAAATAGGTCTGTTTTTACAGGAACAGTTAAAGTTTATGAATGCAATTTCGACCAATCAGATTGCTGGATTACTTAAGTGAGGTATATAATAATGTATATTGAACAAAAACAAAATTCAACACCACACTTTTATTTTCTCTATTTTTTATGTTGTTGTTGTTTTATTTGGTGTTGTAGCTCTCCAATGCTACAAGTCTCTTGAACCAGGCCCAGCAGCCGTATAATTATTTGATTGACAGTATCAAGTCTAAAGACCAACAGATCAACAAGCATAAAGATCATATCAACACTGCCTCCGAAGACATCAGGTAAGAATAAACATGACAGTATCAAGTCTAAAGACCAACAGATTAACAAGCACAAAGATCATATCAACACTGCCTCCGAAGACATCAGGTAAGAATAAACATGACAGTATCAAGTCTAAAGACCAACAGATCAACAAGCATAAAGATCATATCAACACTGCCTCCGAAGACATCAGGTAAGAATAAACATGACAGTATCAAGTCTAAAGACCAACAGATCAACAAGCACAAAGATCATATCAACACTGCCTCTGAAGACATGAGGTAAGAATAAACATGACAGAATCAAGTTCAAATCCTAGCCCGGCACTATTGTCTCTTGGCACAACGTTAATCAACATTTGCCACTCTCCACGTAGGTGTTCAATGACTACCCAGTAGGATACAAACGTTTGCTTAGCATTGTGAGCATCTGTAAAATGGTGCCTGGCTGGAATGCTCCCCAGGAAGTGGAGAATGTGCATACATTGTGTGCAGGCAAGCCTGAATCTGATGACTGGGGTAATAATAGATCTGTAAAGTGCTTAGAGACATGGTTGATGTCTAAAGTGTTTCTGAAAGTGGAATTTGATTATCATGTAGAACTGCATCACTGTGATAATTAGGTGGTCTGTCGTTTCGACAGATCACCTATTGTTTTTGTTCAAATTTTCTTTCTTATTTCTTTATTTTTATTTATTGTACCCTCTTTTTTGTTTACAGGATAACTCAAGATCAGTTAAGTCAATTTCGTTCAATTTTGGCGCAGTTATAGGTCATTGTCATAAGAAGTGACAGTAACATTTTCAAGGTCATCAAATCTTCATGACGTCATCCAGGCGCCATTTTGTGTTTTTTTGGTACTTTTTACTCATGATCATATCTTCATAACGGAAAGGCATTTCTCATTCATTTTTATTATGATTAAGGTCAATATCCGTCCGGTCAATTTCAGGTCAAAAAACGCATGCGGATGCGTACGTCCGCGCGCACGCAAAAAATAAAAATGCTCCAAATCATCTCAAATTGATTTTGCATACGTTTCAGGCCATTTTAAGCATTTTCAAAAATTGCGCGAGAGCACTTATGTGCGCGCGTTTCCGCGCGTAACCGCGCGTAACCGCGTGTATTGACATTTTACAACATAGAATCGCAACATTTTCTCTATCTTCATATTTACCACATTTTTCCAAGCATTTTGATACCTTGTTCACTTTTTTCTGACCAGCAATAACTTAATGAGCGTCCATCAAAGTTTACAGTACGCACGGACCTGCGCTATCTATATCCACAATACATGTGCAAAAACATGCCTATACAACATTTAATGTAACTCTTCAGAATGGATGTATACCCCCCATTTTTTTAAATATTTGGATAGATTATGAGTCGGAGATATGATTTCATGTCTCATTTGACCCTCAATTAACTCATGACGTCATAATGGCCTCCGAACTCAAAATTTCAATTTGCATATTATGACGTCAGCAGATTTTTGCAAAATTGATTGTATCTCTGTAAATATTGATCAATTTTCTTTCGAATTTTGATATGTTCTACCTAAGAATATTCTCTACAAATGTAGTCGCCACGATATTTCATTTTGACTAAGGCATCATGGCATATTTTTGCAATTAAAGGAGGCATGTCAATTTTTCACATTTTGCGTGTATTCTCTATGGGACATGACTTTTTCTCAAAACTGGATCTACATTCTCGTCTTTCGCGAGCAATATCTCCATCGTTTTATCTTTGTTTACGCTGAGCTTTGAGTATGTTGTAGCTGAGACAATAAGCTATCACAAGTGTGCCCTTTATTTTTCGATCAGATGCCGGGATCATGCTCATATTTCACTTACAAAGTGGGATTTGAGAATTCAATTTTCAGTTTACGTGTAATCTCTATGGGAAATGTTTTGGTATATCGGTAACGCACTTGACTTCCGACCTCGAGGTCCATGGTTCGAGTCCGGGCGTTTCCAACAATTTTTTTTCTTCACTTTTTTTTCTTTTTGACCTTTCACTGTACCATCTCCTTTGAATATTAAAACACGTACAATCGCAAATAATGTAATAAACAACCATATTTACTTTATTATTACCCTATGCGTGTAATCCTTATCCCTTACTGTACTGGGCTATTTTGAGCACCCGCTGACTGGGGGGGGGGGGGGGCCTGGGAGGCCCCCCCCTATGATCTCGGCCGTCGATTGTCCGATGAACACGAAAATTTGCATGTTTGTAGATATTTACGTAAGGAACAAGATGGTATAATTAGTTTTTTCTGATTATGCAAATTTTTGTCGTTAGCCTAATTAATTATGCAAAATGCACTAATTTTATGCATTTTACCGAAAACGTGTCAAACTCCACTTTTTGAATGTTGAAACTCATTATCCATATGAAACTTCTTTTCTCACACAAAAAAGTTATTTTAATGTAATTAATAATGATAATTTATGCAAATTTTGATGCGATTTTCATTTTTTTTTTTGTTTTTTTGATGACATGCGCATACTAATTGTTATGTAACGCCTTACAGGTATATCCGATTTCGACGAAAATGGTATAAAAATGTGCGTAAGACTTGAGGGAAAAAAGTCATGAAACGTCAATTCAAAATTCCAAGCGGTTGCGGCGCAATCTTCGAAAATGTCGAGGGGGGGGCCTCCCAGGCCCCCCCCCCCCAGTACAGTAAGGGTTATGGGAGATGACTTTTTCTCAAATCTGGATTCTACATTCTTGTCTTTTGCGAGCAATATCGCCGTTATTTCGGCTTGATTTTTGTTGATTTTTTAGTATGTTGTAGCTGAGACTATATACTATCTAAATGTTCTCTCATTTTTTTCAGTCTGATGTCATCGTGGTCTGTTGATGATAATCATCAACATCATGATGATGATGATGATGATCATCATCATCATCGTCATCCCCATCGTCATCCCCATTACTGCAAGGGCTATTGTCAATTTCAGGTCAAAAAACGCATGCGGATGCGTACGTCCGCGCGCACGCAAAAAATAAAAATGCTCCAAATCATCTCAAATTGATTTTGCATACGTTTCAGGCCATTTTAAGCATTTTCAAAAATTGCGCGAGAGCACTTATGTGCGCGCGTTTCCGCGCGTAACCGCGCGTAACCGCGTGTATTGACATTTTACAACATAGAATCGCAACATTTTCTCTATCTTCATATTTACCACATTTTTCCAAGCATTTTGATACCTTGTTCACTTTTTTCTGACCAGCAATAACTTAATGAGCGTCCATCAAAGTTTACAGTACGCACGGACCTGCGCTATCTATATCCACAATACATGTGCAAAAACATGCCTATACAACATTTAATGTAACTCTTCAGAATGGATGTATACCCCCCATTTTTTTAAATATTTGGATAGATTATGAGTCGGAGATATGATTTCATGTCTCATTTGACCCTCAATTAACTCATGACGTCATAATGGCCTCCGAACTCAAAATTTCAATTTGCATATTATGACGTCAGCAGATTTTTGCAAAATTGATTGTATCTCTGTAAATATTGATCAATTTTCTTTCGAATTTTGATATGTTCTACCTAAGAATATTCTCTACAAATGTAGTCGCCACGATATTTCATTTTGACTAAGGCATCATGGCATATTTTTGCAATTAAAGGAGGCATGTCAATTTTTCACATTTTGCGTGTATTCTCTATGGGACATGACTTTTTCTCAAAACTGGATCTACATTCTCGTCTTTCGCGAGCAATATCTCCATCGTTTTATCTTTGTTTACGCTGAGCTTTGAGTATGTTGTAGCTGAGACAATAAGCTATCACAAGTGTGCCCTTTATTTTTCGATCAGATGCCGGGATCATGCTCATATTTCACTTACAAAGTGGGATTTGAGAATTCAATTTTCAGTTTACGTGTAATCTCTATGGGAAATGTTTTGGTATATCGGTAACGCACTTGACTTCCGACCTCGAGGTCCATGGTTCGAGTCCGGGCGTTTCCAACAATTTTTTTTCTTCACTTTTTTTTCTTTTTGACCTTTCACTGTACCATCTCCTTTGAATATTAAAACACGTACAATCGCAAATAATGTAATAAACAACCATATTTACTTTATTATTACCCTATGCGTGTAATCCTTATCCCTTACTGTACTGGGCTATTTTGAGCACCCGCTGACTGGGGGGGGGGGGGGGCCTGGGAGGCCCCCCCCTATGATCTCGGCCGTCGATTGTCCGATGAACACGAAAATTTGCATGTTTGTAGATATTTACGTAAGGAACAAGATGGTATAATTAGTTTTTTCTGATTATGCAAATTTTTGTCGTTAGCCTAATTAATTATGCAAAATGCACTAATTTTATGCATTTTACCGAAAACGTGTCAAACTCCACTTTTTGAATGTTGAAACTCATTATCCATATGAAACTTCTTTTCTCACACAAAAAAGTTATTTTAATGTAATTAATAATGATAATTTATGCAAATTTTGATGCGATTTTCATTTTTTTTTTTTTTTTTTTGATGACATGCGCATACTAATTGTTATGTAACGCCTTACAGGTATATCCGATTTCGACGAAAATGGTATAAAAATGTGCGTAAGACTTGAGGGAAAAAAGTCATGAAACGTCAATTCAAAATTCCAAGCGGTTGCGGCGCAATCTTCGAAAATGTCGAGGGGGGGGCCTCCCAGGCCCCCCCCCCCAGTACAGTAAGGGTTATGGGAGATGACTTTTTCTCAAATCTGGATTCTACATTCTTGTCTTTTGCGAGCAATATCGCCGTTATTTCGGCTTGATTTTTGTTGATTTTTTAGTATGTTGTAGCTGAGACTATATACTATCTAAATGTTCTCTCATTTTTTTCAGTCTGATGTCATCGTGGTCTGTTGATGATAATCATCAACATCATGATGATGATGATGATGATCATCATCATCATCGTCATCCCCATTACTATCAAGATCATCATCATCATGATCATCATGATGATCATCATTGTTTACATGTCTATATAACTTCTCCCTTTCTCAATATAGTAAATATTATAATCTATCATAAGACTTGAAGACAGACCACCTAATTCGTCCCCATGACGAATTAAATTTCTAGTTTTATTTTATTTTTTAAGGAGACTGAAAGAAGAACGTGAAACCCTGATGAAGGAGAAGAATCAGATGGCTGCTGATCTGGAGAGACTTCTCAATCAGAAAGAGGTAAGTGATATCCATAGCAATTATTATTACATGTCTTCTTATCGAGTCACTACACAAGTCCTGTCCAGTGCTCCACACAGGCTCTGGCACAGCAATTCACGGTTTCCAGGTCATCTTGGGTGCATGGCTCTGGCAGGAGTGGACAGAGTAGTATGTGTTCCATTGTCTGTTCCTGGCCGCATTCACATGCTGTTTGTTCATCTCCTAAACCCCACCTCTGCATAAGGACTTAGCCAAGAAGGCCAAGTCTCGCTAGAGCCAGATGCGAGGGATTCCTTCGGGCTGAGGGAGAGTTTATTTGGGGTGGTCTGGAGGTGGTAAGACCACAAAGTCATCCTTTGGGTGTGAGGGCTGGTATATTAATAAGGGGCTCTACAGTGTGCAGAAAGCTGGGTCTAGATTTGAGCCACTTGCCCACTGGCTGTTGTTGGAAGAGTGGGTGGAGTGAATTGTTTTCTCGTTTGTCCTTTTCTTTCTGGGACAAGACCAACCTTCTGACGTGTGGAGGGGCAATACCGCAGAGCAGGTAGATGTCTTCTACTTTTGTTGGCCTAAGGCAACCAGTGATTGCTCTGCAGGATGAATTTAGAGCTGGGTCAATCTTGGGTGCATGGGCCGACCTACTCCATACTGGTGAGGCATACTCTGCAGCAGAGAAGCAAAGCGCAAGGGCTATTGTTCAGATTGTTCTGGCATCAGTCCCCCAGTTGGTGTTGGCTAGCTTCTTGAGGATGCTATTGCGGGCTCCAACTTTTGCCTTTGTGTTGGCAATGTGGTTCTTGTTGGTAAGGGAGTGATCCAGTGTGACGCCTAGGTAGACTAGGTTGTGTGTGTGCTGCAGCCTTTTCCCATGCCAGCTGATCCTTACAGGCCTGATAAAAACCCGATTTAAATCGGTTTCCCGATTTTTTTTATTTTTCCCGATTTTTTCCCGATTTTTTTCTTTTCTTCCTTTTAAAAAAAAAAAAAAAAAAAAAAAAAAAAAAAAAAAAAAAAAAAAAAAAAAATCATTTTTTTTTTTTTTTTTTTTTTACCATTTTTTTTTCCTTCCCTATTTTATCCTGATTTTCCCGATTTCCCTCTTATTATCTCTATTCTTTCCTATTTTTCCCCCAATTTTCCCCCCAATTTTCCCAAGTTTGTCTCAATTTTCTTACTCGAAAGGGGGGAATGTTGTTAGATGCCATTTTTTCCCCGCGAATCGTCTTTTTTTTTTTTTACTCAAGGGGGGCGTGGTTGAGGGGAAAACAAAAAACCTATTTTTTTTTTAGTGCTCACTATCACCCCTGTCCTTAGTTGATGGTTGGTATCCCTGTTCTTGAGGTGGAAAGCACTTATCTGAGATTTGTAAGAGTTAGCTCTCAGTTGGTTGGTTGCGTAGTATGGGATGAGTCCGGCCAGGGCATCACTGAGGGACTCTTCCAACTTTATAAAAGATTGGTTCTGGGTGGCGATGCAGAGATCACCGGCGTAGAGGAAGGATCCATTGGTCGTTTGTGTACTTCCTTGTGGTAGGCCATTTTTCTGTCTGCGCCATCTGCTGCGATTGCTGTTGAGGACCACAAAAAGAAAATTCAATCGGACAGCAACGTCTGGATGAGTCCAGTCAGTCTCATATCCTTTGTCAGCTCAAAGATCTTCCTGGTGAGGATTCTGTGGTTCATGATGTTGTAGGCAACAGAGAGGCCAACGATAGCAGCTCCAGTGATTAGCTTACCCTCATAGCCATTCTCAATGAACTGAGTGAGATTTAGGAATTGGCCATTGCATGACTTTCCTGGCCTAAACCCTGCTTGTTTCGGAATGAGATGTTCATCCACGAATGGGGTGATACGGTTGAGGATAAGCCGCTTGAATAGCTTATATGTATGGCACAGAAGGGAGATGGGTCTGTAGCTCTTTGGACTTGCTGGGTCTTTGCCAGGCTTCAGCAGGGCAATAACTTTGACTTTCCTCCAGAATTTTGGGATGTTGTTGGTGCTCAAGCATTCATTGAACATGACAAGGAGCCAGTTGAGGGCACTTGGTCAAAGTTGTTTGATTTGCTTGCAGAGGATTTCATCAAGTCCAGCAGCTTTGTTGTTTACATTGCTTTGATGGCAGCAAGCAGGTCGTTCATGGTGAAAGGGGTCTTTTAATATCAGTGGCAATGATTTGATGATTGGATAAATGCTCATCAACATTAAAGTACCTCTTGAGGCTTGTTCAGGAAGGACAAGGTAAACTACTGCAAACAAAAAAAGCCACATTTTGTAATGTGTAAATAGGGACTTTTCGACTTTTTGACTGCTTCGTTTGCGATCATTTTTTAAACAGGGTTGACGAGGCAAGCTGACTGTTGTTTGTTACCTTTTAGATTTTGCACGACGACGACGCTCGCTGAATGATGACATGCATAATGTTTGCACTTGTACGATATTCCAATAGAATAGCTAAAGATCCAAATTCGGTACATAGGACTGTCCTCGATAACTATGCTGCAACAAATTGGCAATGCATATAAAATCAAATGTGTTTATTTTATGGATTAATCTGCAACAATTGTGATTTAAGGTAAATTACAGACAAGAGAATGCGTTAATTTTAGATAGTTTACGCTTCCACAACTCTCGGCTTGGTCAATTGGGTCCGTTTTGTGACGTTAATGTACTGTTTCTTATCTACAAAATATTGCTTACCAACAGTACAGTCACCGATTACGAACGATGGCAAAACAAGGGGAAACGCGTTCGAGAATTCTGCTGAGAACGATGAGCTCGTCGATGCACATGTGCATTGCTTACAAAATGACTGCATATGCCACAGTCCACGAGTGAACGTGCAAATCAAAAAGTCCCTAATGAATGGCTACAATGGTCCTGGTACTGAGCTCTGTGTGTTATACATGTGAAGCGTATCCCTTTCTACGTCATCATTACAAACCAAAGGGGTTTTCCCTCATCATACCTGAAGGAGGGTATGCAGTCATACTATACAGGAAGTTAGATATTATAGCATTACAGTTTGTCTTCTCTTTTTATTATTAAATCATATACAGTGCCTCCAGTATTGGTAATATAATGTACATAAATATTGTGTTCAATTGCACTACAATTCCAATTTTCAATTCAATTTCAATTCAAAAGTATTTCATTCACTCATTGTAGCCAAACACCTTTTCAAGTTAAAATATTCAGTCATATACTCGGATGTTGTGTGTATGGGCAGTTGATTTAAAACAGCAATTTGATGAAGTTTACAAGGTATATTTCATAAATCTTTGTAGACTTACATTGGACAATTTTATGAAGGACAAATATTCATGATGGTTAGTGCTCTTTCGTGAATATTTTCTGTTAAATCTGAATGCAAAAGAGAAATCTTTATGTTTGTAAATTATCCAGACACCCAACTCCCAATCAAAAAAGGCAATGTTTGATTCAGGATGGTATATTTTATCATGTCCTCTTTTAAATAACTATTTATTCCATCATAGACATTTTAAAAAAATCGATACTTCGTTTAAAGGCATCATTTAACAATGTTACATCTGAGATGCATGGCCCTACATGTTATCAGTGTCTGTGATATGGTGTAATATTGAAGCCCTAAACAAAATTGCGCTTCAAAATGATCAAGAAGTGCCTCAAAAAGTAAAAATCTTTGAGTGACCGGTTTGGCAAACGCAAAATTTGGTTTTGATTTCCAATCATAAATATCTTGATAATCAAACAGGCGATCAGCTTGTAAAAGTCATGGGGTTCCTGACTGACCTAAAAGTTGATGATTATCATTGCAGCATGAGCTAAATCCAGGATTTTGTTTCAGAGTCTGAGACAAAGTTACCGGATTCCTTTAAATGAAAAAGAAATTCTTCTTGTATGACATGACAGTATGGATTACCAACAGAAATTCCCCATATCATTCATGATCTTGATTTGATATTCTCCCATCCTCTGTAATCATCTCTTTTCTCTCTTTACCTTTCATGGTAGCAAATGGCAGTGATGAAACAAGTTGTGTTGACACTCAGCCAGCGTCACCATGGTAACAAGGAATCTCATCAGAGTCCTGTTGTTCATGAGAGATTGAGTAGTGACCGCCATCCTTTGTCCGACAAGATGACCATTGGACGTGAACCAGGTCATCAGCCCAAGCCGACTGTCTTTGTAAGTGATTAGTGAAGAGGTCAAAGGTCATGTTGTCAGAGTTGGTCAAGAATATCCCTTCTATACCATTTCCAGAGCTGCCAACTAGTTCAGATTTCTCGTAATTGGTACGGAAATTAAAAATCATTACAGAAGTTGGGAATGTTGTCTAAAATTGTGACTACACGACTATTACAACAAAAAACAAAAAAAGTCTGAGCAGAGCTATCTCTGTGAGTATTCTCTTACAAGAAGCCAATTTCTGTCATCAGCCCAAGCCGACTGTCTTTGTAAGTGATTAGTGAAGAGGTCAAATGAGCATATTTTTTTTTTTTTTGGGGGGGGGTCCTCGAAAATTTAAAAATTTGCCCGCCCCCCTTGAGTGCCAGGGAGGGGAGGCCAGGCCCCCCAGGCCCCACCCCCCCCCCTGGATCTGCCACTGAAAAAGGCTAGGCATTAGTTTTATAACATTTAATTTTTCTTGGCATCCATGCAGTGTTGTAGTGCCTTATTTTTAGATTCATAGAAGAAAAAAAATAAAATAAAATTGAATGGGTTATATGTTGTACTGAATTTGCAAATGATAAGGTTTTAAGGGGTAACCCTTCAGCAGCTACAGGTTGTGTACACTGTAGCCATTAACTCACTGAAAGCAGACTTTATGGTATAGTAGTACGCTTTGCCTGCTGATTTTCATGAGTTACAATTTCCATCTGTTTTAAAGAATACACCATGCCAAGTAACCTATTGTATTTAGAACCTGCATGGACTTTTTTGTACTGACTTTTGGCGTTTCAAATTAAAACAACGTAAATACAAACAGGCTTTTGGGGCATATATTTCTAGGATGTTGAAGATCTTCATTTTTTTTATTAGGGATGGGAGTTTGAAGTGTTTTTATTTTGACATGTACACCTGGGTACCTGAAAATTGTAGAACAAAATAGACTAATATTGGTCATGTTTGATTCTAAACAGACACAGAGCCAAGATTCACAGTGGTACGAGAAGCTGAAAGAATGCAACACAAACAGAGGAACTCACTACAGGAACACATGGAAAGAAGGAACATGAGAACACAACATGAATAGAGGAAGATGTTATAGGAACACATGGAAAGAAGGAACGTGAGAATACAACATGAATAGAGGAAGATGCTATAGGAACACATGGAAAGAAGGAACGTGAGAATACAACATGAATAGAGGAAGATGCTATAGGAACACATGGAAAGAAGGAACGTGAGAATACAACATGATAGAGGAAGATGCTATAGGAACACATGGAAAGAAGGAACGTGAGAATACAACATGATAGAGGAAGATGTTATAGGAACACATGGAAAGAAGGAACGTGAGAATACAACATGATAGAGGAAGATGTTATAGGAACACATAGTAGGAGACCAGCCTGTAGGTCCCGTGACCAATCTCGGGGAACAAAGGTTTGAAAGTGTTTTTGTGTTCCCTGATGAATACCGAACAATTTTGACTTGGGCTGCCCCCTTGAAAATCCCAGGCATTTTCGTGAGGGGTCAACAAAGGTCATACAGGGTAGAAATTCAAATATATTCGAATCGTGTTGATATGCATATCAAACTACTCGTCTGGTCATGAGGATTGAAAAAATGTATAGTTTGCTATACCTCCGACCTTAAATGAGGGCGCTATGGTCAAAAACGTTGAAAGGTCAACACACTTTTGACTGGTGGTCAAATTCACCAACACGGTTAACCTTATCAAATTTCATATCAAATTACTTGTCTGGTCATAAGGATTACAAACATGTATAGTTTGTTATACCTCTGACCTTAAGTGAGGGCGCTATGGTCAAAAAGGTCAATGCACTCTAGACTGGTGGTCAAATTCACCAACACAGTTAACATCGTCCGATTCTAATGATTTTAGTGTCTAATAATATGTTTTCTGACATAACAAATTCAACTAAGCAACTTTTAAAACAAAAAGTGGTTGCCATAACCTTGAAATTTCCCTCAAACCCATGGATAAGAAGTTATAAATGTTTGTCACCGAAACGGCAGCCATTTTGAATGTACATAGTCAAGGTAAGTACTTTTAATTTTGAAAGTTGTATAGTTGAATTTTCTGTGTCAGAAAACATATTATAAGACACTAAAATCATTAGAATCGGACAATGTTAACTGTGTTGGTGAATTTGACCACCAGTCTAGAGTGCATTGACCTTTTTGACCATAGCGCCCTAATGTAAGGTAGGGGGTATAACAAACTATAAATTTTTGGAATCCTCATGACCAGACGAGTAATTTGATATGAAATTTGATAAGGTTTACTGTGTTGGTGAATTTGACCACCAGTCAAAAGTGTGTTGACCTTTCAACGTTTTTGACCATAGCGCCCTCATTTAAGGTCGGAGGTATAGCAAACTATACACTATACACCCACAAATGGGTGTATATTAGTTGAAATCTAGCTAAAATGATTCTCAGAATACTGTTTTAAAGGTAATACAAAGTTTTGGGAAATTTTGAAAACTGGTTGATAGTGATTCTTTACAATGTTGATATATTTGGATGCCCCTGTGGATGTATTATAAGCACTAGAAAATTTAGCCCCTAAAACATTTCTGCTTTCGAGAAAAATTGAATATAAAAATTTACCGGTGCTCCCGGTAAATTTTGATCAATTTCAAATAGCGCGACTACGGCTGTACAATGGTAGCTGCGACCATGAAAATATCAGAATATGTAGTCGTGATATATAATTTCCAAACGGGAAGAGCTAATCGGTCGATTTTAGTCCAGAAACATTGTTTTATAGCTTAATTAATATATTGACCTTGAGAGGGAGCTATGCAACATAAATAGTTTATTATTTACAATTTCATAACTATAAACTCAATTTCAACCGCGACAACGATCACGGAATATTGTAGTATCGCATATGCTTCCAATATGTTCATTTGAACCTAATTCATGTCCCCATACCAAAACTTTGTATTACCTTTAAGAAGGAATTTTAAGGGTACCGTATTTTTTATCTCACTGAGATAAAATGATTCTCAGAATACCGTTTTAAGAAGGAATTTTAAGGGTACCGTATTTTATCTCACTGAGATAAAATGATTCTCAAAATACCACCAGCAGAATCTTGTCGGTCTTTCTGTCAGTGGGCCTGGATTATATTACCTCATTAAATGATTATATAATATGCATTTTATGACCCCAGTTGAATGAATGTGATTTTGCAAAGTAGTTACAGTAATAAAAACATAATACATAAATTGAAATGACTAAATAAATTGCTTGCATCAAGACTGCTGTGCACAATAATATTGTAGAATTTGAAGAAGATGGTACATTTCTTTAATAGAAAAGGTGCAGGTCAATAAAAACATCTGTTTAAACATCTGTGATATATTTTCAATACATACAGTTAAGAACTAAATTATACATACCCTTACCAAGTTTTGTACATTTTTTTAGTATTGTATGTGGACAAATTGATTTTTCCTGCTTTATGTTTCTTGAGAATGTGACATGTTCAACCAGTCTCATTCTTGAGTTAAGAAAAAAATAAAAAATCAAATCAAATTTACAAGGGGTATGTATAATTCTGTTGTTAACTGTATGATCTTGTACAAACTACAAAGTGTAATTCATGTTTGTAATTGTTTTGGGGAAAGACACTAGATGTACTTGAATCCCTTGAATGTAACAATAATCATACGGCTTGAAGCTGTGCACATACATTGTTCTAACATCAATATTTGATATTAAATATGCACAATTTCACCACTGAAGAAAACTGTAATTTGAAAGGGAAATGAATCCTTCAGAGAATGTTGGTTTTTTGGAAACATAATAATCAGAGAATATATTAGTAAAAGTTTCTAAAGAATCCAACACAAAATAAGAACTTTTCTTTGTTCTTGTTGTATGATACATAGTTCAGTGACAATTTGCTATGCAGCCAATATCCTAACTTCAACACCTTGAGACAAACACTATACTGAACCCTAACCATAAACCAAACATAGAGGGGTGAACCTAATTACATCCTTAAAGCCAAGAGGAATTGTCTCAGGAGCATATGTTGATCTGAACAGGTTTTTCTTCTTCTTTCTTTCTTATGTACTTGAGATTATTAATGATGTGGGGAACTTAATTTTCTATTGGCTATTCAGTCAAGTGTACTAACTGAACTGTGTAAATATGTCAATATAAAAAGTTGCAGATTAATTAAAGTGTTCTATTTATGCAAATCACAGACTCAATTTCTGACCTAATTTGTGACTTTTTCTAGCAGTTTCACTCTAATGAGACACACCCTTTTAAGGCCTGTCTGCACTAGTTTAGCCAGGAGGGAATAGACCTCCCTGCATGGTCACTGACAGGTGGTTATCTCATCAAATCAGCTCTTAATTAAGATAAGAAAAAGGGGATCATGGGGGGACCAACGGGTACGGCTTAGACATTGTTTGCTATATAGAGGGCACAAGTAGCTACAAGTAGTGCAGACAGACTTTAAAAGGGAACCCATACAAAAATCTGATATAGTAGTACATATTGCAAAACAAAACAATTGTTAAATTTTTTTATAAATGTAATGCTTCGTGGGAGAAATTTCAATAGTTTAAACATATTTGTGGCTTACACCCAGTAAATAAGATCGATTGATTGATCTGTAATTGAAAAACAAGTCAGAATTTTTTTTTTTTTTTTTTCTGACTTGTCCTATGGCGGACTAATGAACATTAATAAGTCAGAATGAATCAGGAAGAGCTTGGGTATTTGTTTCTAGTTCATCGTGACTGTGCCATGGACCAGTGATGGCCTGGTGGTAGAGTCGCTGCCCAGCAAGCAGTAGATGGCAGGTTCAAATCCCGCTGGTTCCAAGATTTTTTCTGACTTGGTTTTAAATTCCAGATCGATCAATCGATCTTATTTACTGGGTGTAAGCCACAAATATGTTTAAAACAAAATTAGTACAAATATTTGTTGTTGAAGGGAAGTCACTTCAAAATCGTAAAACACAGTACAGTCAGTATATGTATACAGCCTTTTTAATTAAAGTGAAGATGCACTACATGTATGCCCCCACTTTTTCAAGTACCAAAAAGTGCCCCTTTTTACATAGGAAATGTGCCCCTTTTACTTTGATAACTGCCCCTATCAATTTGTAAAATTTTCACCTCTGATAATTACTCTTTCTACTTTGACACATGCTCCTTTTCTTTTCTGATAATTGTCCCCTTTTCCTCTCATCATTAAACCCGCCCCTAATTTCAAGCGACTAAGAGCAATTTCCCCCAAAGCTCTCACTCATTTATAGATGATATACTTATGTTACTTATCAAAGGTCATTTTAGTCTTCTGTTATGAGAATGTGCTTATTACCCTATCAGGATTGGGTTTTTCCTCTTTATAAGATGTAATTTTTCGCACTGGGACCTCACAAACCTTTTTTTTTTTCCTCGCTTGCAAATAATTTTCAGACCATCACACCCAGCTGCAAAGTATGATGCTTAAGCAATATCTTGTATGGTGTATAAAATGAAACAAATATTGAAATAATCCCTGATAATGTAATTACAATGTAGTGGTTTATACCAATGTCTACAAAAATGGTATATTTTCCCTTGAGATTTCCCTTTATAGGTGTCCTTTTTTCTTGGTGCCCCCCCCCCCCCCCCCCCAGTGGCGGATCCAGGATTTGCCGATTGGGGGGGGGGGGGGGGAGGGAGTAATGTGAGCTAACTAAATAAAATTATATTTTTAATTATTTAAAAAAAAAGGCCGGGGGGGGGGGGGGGGGTGACGGGCCCGCCCCCCCCCCCACCCCACTTTGGAGTGGTAGGAGAACCGATCCACATTGCATTTGTTTTATCCAGATTAAAGGTAATACAAAGTTTTGGTATGGGGTCATGAATTTGGTTCAAATGAACATATTGGAAGCATATGCGACCCTACAATATTCAGTGATCGTTGTCGCAGTTGAAATCGATCCTAAAGTTATGAAATTATAAATAATAAACTCCTTATGTTGTATAGCTCCCTCTCAAGGTCAAGATATTAATTAGGCTATAAAACAATGTTTTTTGACTAAAATCGACCGATTAGCTATTCCTGTTTGGAAATTATATATCACAACTACATGTTCTGAAAATTTCATGGTCGCAGATACCATTGTACGGCCGTACGGCGCTATTTGAAATTTATCAGAATTTACCGGGAGCACCGGTAAATTTTATATTCAATTTTTCTCGAAAGCAAAAGTGTTTTAGGGGCTAAATTTTCTAGTGATTTTATTACATCCACAGGGGC